AATCCGAAGTATCGTAAAATATGAACAACAGAAATTTAATTGGAATACGATGATTGATTTTTGATTTGTGAGATAATATTAGCAATTGCATATGGAATATTTATTTTCAAAATATGGAAGGCTGATAAAATTGTTTCTCATATTCTTTTACGATAGAGAGCTATTTTCTTATTAGTTATTTAACCACGATTTATTTCAGAAATATTAAAAATTCCAAATCATAAACATTCAATTTAAAAAACCGCGATACAAAAAAATCCTTCGTAAGCGCAAAATTACTTAAAAATCGCGATATAATAATTACAAATTAAAAATGTACTAGAGCACATTTCGCGTGTAAAAGCTAAAACGATTTTATTACAGCGTTTAAAAACGATGCTTGATGGAAATTTATTTTACGAGAACGTTTCTGGCAAAACTATATAAATTCCTAAATCCGACATTTCCGTATCCTCGAGATCTGGAACGGAGGGCTCGTTGAAACTGCGTCGAAACAATCTAGAGAGCAAAATACCCTCCACCGACGCGACTGCGCGTTTTCCCGCCACGAGGTATAATAACAATGTAGGAATGAATGGAAGAAACGGAGGGTGAATCAGCCCGCGAGTATCATTCGCGTTGCAGAACACGCGTAGCTTTCAATAAAGATAATCAGTGCCAATTTCGAAATATTTCATTATACGAGACATTATTTTTTTTAATAATATATTTTTTAAAGATATAATAATTACGTGCGTAATAATTTTTTATAGTAAAAAATTAAATAGTTGAAAAAAAATGAAACAATATTCAATTTCTGTCCCATCGTTTCTTATAGAAATATATAAATCAGTGAGTATATGTATATCTAAATATATTTATATGTCTAAATAATATAATTTACTTATTTTCTCAGCTGAAATAACGAAGGTAACAAAACAGAAAAAAGAGATACGTAACAAATATTGGTAGAATCAAAAATATTAAAAGAAAATTTACTTAAAAAAACTGATCTATTATTAAAAGACTCGGAGAAATTCTAAAATGAAAAGCTATTATTAGTAACATTTCCATTGTTACACGCGCGATTTGCAATGCACCCACATGAGTCTACAGTGACTTAACGCGAGAACAAGAATTAATATGCATATAGGTTTACGGGGATGAATGCGCGAGTAAATCTTCAATTGTGTAAGGACTTGGATTCGTAGGATTTGCTTGTTCTGAAAGCCTGCGGCGCGTGTTACAGGCGTTGTAATGGGATTACGAAAGAAAGAGGGACGCTGCTGATCGATTACGCGTAAACAGAGGCGAACTTTTTCACTCGCAGGATCGGTATGACTCAGAAAATGCGATGCGTATGCGCGTGCGGGAGAAAAAATTCGTGCATCTGCAACGAGCGGAGTCTGCATGACGCATCCTAAGCTTTCTCGGGGAGCTAAGTTTCTTTCATCGATAATTCGGACGAACTTTCTTTTACGACAATTAGGGAATCGATCTTTTTTCAACGCGTATAAATAAACGATAAAAAACAGATGCGCCCCCTTTTCTTTACTCTCTGTTTTTTAATCTCGGTCAGATCGGATTTTTTAATAGACTTTTCGTTCAAAAATTCCTTGCAAAAATATATCGAGTCTTAAATATCAGAAAATAGTGCAGATCGGATTTTTCATTGACTTTTTGTTCAAAAATTCCTTGCAAAAATATATCGAGTCTTAAATATCAGAAAATAGTGTAGATCGGATTTTTTTCATTGACTTTTCGTTGAAAAATTCCTTGCAAAAATATATCAAGTCTTAAATATCAGAAAATAGTGCAGATCGGATTTTTTCATTGACTTTTTGTTCAAAAATTCCTTGCAAAAATATATCGAGTCTTAAATATCAGAAAATATAGTGCGAGAGAATAAAATTTGTCCTTCCATGAGTTGAACAAATAATTGAAAAATAGATGCGCTCCGTTTTCTTTACTCTTTGTTTTTAATCTCGGTCAGATCCGATTTTTTTATACGCAGACTTTTCGTTCAAAAATTCCTTGCAAAAATATATCGAGTCTTAAATATCAGAAAATAGTGCAGATCGGATTTTTTTCATTGACTTTTCGTTGAAAAATTCCTTGCAAAAATATATCGAGTCTTAAATATCAGAAAATAGTGCAGATCGGATTTTTTTCATTGACTTTTCGTTGAAAAATTCCTTGCAAAAATATATCGAGTCTTAAATATCAGAAAATATAGTGCGAGAGAATAAAATTTGTCCTTCCATGAGTTGAACAAATAATTGAAAAATAGATGCGCTCCGTTTTCTTTACTCTCTGTTTTTAATCTCGGTCAGATCCGATTTTTTTATACGCAGACTTTTCATTCAAAAATTCCTTGCAAAAATATATCGAGTCTTAAATATCAGAAAATATAATGGGAGAGAATAAAATGTGTCCTTCCACGAGTTGAACAAATAATTAAAAAATGATGAAAGAAGAATAGTAAAGAAAAAAAAGAGGGAAAGCAGTATCGATCCGTATATCTCGTAATAGAAGGATCAAGAGTTATAGCCCATTTGTGAAAAAGTCATGGAATAATAATCGCTCGGATTCGTAGGGAGATGTTTTGGAGCAGGATGACTCGGTGTGCCTGCATGGGGGTGTATTGAACAGTTCGTGCAGAGGGTAACTCCGGGGATTTCGATGCAAGGCACGCGACGTCGCAAATTCAACGCGATGCATAACGTTACGTCCTTACACCTACGCGTCTGTTTTCTGTGACTATATTATTTTCCTGTATTTCTCAATATTTTTTTATCTCTACAGATTTTTTTTACACATAATGTATGCCTATAAAAATGTACAAATATGTAATTTTTCTTTACAACTCTACACACACTGAACAAAATTTAGTTAATGATAAGTATTTATTTTAATACTGTCAAATAAATCATTTATTTGAAACTAATATTTAAATATTTATTTGATATAAGAAAATCCTTTTCAAAACAAATAAATGATTTATTTGACAGTATTGAACTAAATGTGTATTAATTTAGTCATATATTATATATTTCGGCTATATTTATTTTCTCGTCGAATAATCTACATTGATTCTCAATTATCTTAAAATCAATATTTGCACATTCCATCGTTAGATTTATCATCATCACGTTTCGTTTATACTCTTTCTCTCTCAGGTCTGACTTTTCAAATCATGAGTCAGATTTCATTATATGTCCTTGATTACTTCAGCCGCTCTCTTATCTTTTTCTTCATCTCAATAAGTCATCACGTATACAAAGCATATGTAGATTAACTGTTAATGCAATTTAATTATATTATATATTTCGTAATATCTCGAGGAAGAGAAGATGAAATGCATTCTATTCTATTTTTCTCTATATTCTGTGACTCTATCTCGCAACTTCCTCTTGATATTTCCTTTCTCTTCCTTTTGTTTTTCGCGTCTTTTATGTCATCTATACCGACGTTGACGTGTCGCGAGTAACGTGAAAGAATAAGAAAATGGAAAAATGACGCCGATCTGCGGTTGGCCGGATCTGGTTCAGAAACGAGATACGCCTGAGAGACCTCAGATAAATCTGCGAGAATCAGCGTCTCCACGAGACGATAGACAGACTAATATCCGCGATTGGTGTGTTCGATACTTCTTATCTTCAGAATCGACAATATAAAAGTCATATCCTGATCGATTTTACAAAATTAGACGGAAAAATCGATCACGGATTTAGCCTCTTTAATTCAACTTTCTGCATTCAGAATAAAACACACATGTTTAGGTTTTTGAATAAAGAGAAAGGAAAGTTGTAGCTAGTATTTGCAAAATTTAGCAATCTTTTCAGCAGTGAATAATAGAATATTTCAAAATTTATTTTCACAACGCCGATAAATAATAATTAATAGAAACTATTTAGTGCTTCGATATTTTCATTAACTTATATTTCTTGTACACTGCCTGAAAATAACGATGGACAATTTTCTAAAATATTACATCCTGAAAACTGAGCACGAAAATATTTCAGAGCCGTGCCTCAGTCACAAAATTAATAATGCTTTTAGATCAGATAATTTCGGCACCCTCTTATTAAAATTTTAGATTTTATCTTGTAGGGCAAAAATGATTCTACTATATATATATGAACATACATGGTAAAATTAATCGATCATATTTTATATCTTATTGTGATAGATATTAATATTTTTTATTATGATGTAAATATTAATCAGACAAGCTTTTATATATATATATATATATATATATATATATATATATATATGCATATATGTATACGCAGAGAGAATTTTCTCTTAGAAAATTTACCCTGAAAATCATCGAGAATTTTATAAAAGCTTCTCTGATTAATATTTACATCACAATAAAAAATATTAATATCTATCACAATAAGATATAAAATATGATCGATTAATTTTATCATGTATTGTTTGAGATATACGCGTGATCCGGCACTGGCGACGTCGAAATCTCGAGATTGTTAGGAAAGTAATTAGAGGAGAACTTGTCGTGGATATCGATTTATTCTTTACGAACGCTGAGAGACGACTGGCCCGTCCGCAGACGGCAAGCCGTGAATTTTGACAAACAAGTATGAAGAGGGGGTTGACAAACAGTTTTGATAGATTTATAATATCTCATGTACAGATAAAGAGAGAGTGTACAAAGAAATGTAGAGGACACATGACTCCTTTGTATTACGAACGCGAAGTCGGCGCGAAAACAACAAAAAGGTGCGCAAATAAGAACGCGGAGAACAGTATCCATAGAATTTAACTCGATAACATTTACAGACAATATTTGCTTGACGTTCGAATTTACCATTCGTGACTTTACTAAATTTTAGAAGCGAATATTACTAAACATGACGATACAACGTGATCTTAAACTGGATATAATTTTATTACATTATTGTGTCGAAACATTCCGCCCGCCTTGTCTACTGATAGTAGACAAAGTATCGAATTAAGATATACGAGCGGTTAGCGCAGAGTATTTGTCTAGTCTATTGAGTTTCGATCGGCAGCAAACACAATTTCACTATAGGTCTCTTAAAACTTGAGGTAGCTGTTTTCACTGTGGCAACTCGAATAAGTCCGTCGACTCCAGGGTGCACGTCAGTAATGCGTGCGAGAGGCCACTTAGTTGGAGGAAATCGTTCGTCCTTGATTAGAACGAGAGCGCCTTTTCGAAAGGCATCTTGAGGTCGATATTGTTTCGAGGTAGTCTGTAGCTGCTGTAAATATTCTGACGACCATCGTTGCCAGAATGATTCCTTCATACATTGCAATAGTTGCCAACGTGACAACCGGTTTTGAGGTACCTCTTGAAGCGAAGGTTCCGGCACGGTAGCGAGAGTGGACCCGACGAGAAAGTGCCCAGGCGTGAGAGCGGTAGGGTCCGACGGATCATCTGAGAGTGCAGTGAGCGGGCGAGAGTTCAGAATCGCCTCGATTTGCACTAAGAGCGTTGTCAGTTCTTCATAGGTGAGGCGAGCGTCGCCGAGAACTCGCCGCAAGTGAAATTTGACGGATTTCACCTCAGCTTCCCATTTTCCTCCAAAATGGGGGGCGGAGGGTGGATTAAAACTCCACTTCACTCCGTCATTTGCGAGAATGTTAGCGATGTGAGCCCACTCGCGAGAAGATGCCGTGAACATCCGTTTGAGTTCTGCGTCGGCACCGATCAAATTCGTGCCACAATCACTAGTCAGAGTAGAGCATATGCCTCGCCGTCCGGTAAATCGCCTGAACGCCGCCAGAAAGCCGTCCGTAGAATAGTCAGTCGCGACTTCCAGATGTATCGCAGACGTACTGAAACAAACGAAAATGATGAAATATCCCTTGTACGTTCTGCAGCCTCGTCCGCGAAAAGTTTTGAGAGTCAGTGGCCCGGCATAATCGACTCCAGAGTTGAAGAACGGTCGGCGCGGAACGACTCGTGATGCTGGAAGCTGTCCTACAGCTTGTTGACCAGTAGTAGCACGATGACGAGCACAAATCACGCACTTGTGGATGAATGCTCTGATAGGAACGCGACCGCCGATAATCCAAAACCTTTGACGAATCGAAGATAACGTTAACTGCGGTCCGCCGTGGAGAGTCTTTCGGTGATGATAATCCATCACGAGAATGGATAAGCGACATTTTCGAGGTAAGATCAAAGGATGTTTTTCTTCTGGATCTAGTTGTGACCGGAATAAACGTCCGCGTAAACGCAAAAGTCCTTCGCTGTCGAGGAATGGCGTTAGACGATAGAGAGAGCTCGAGGTTGAGAGTGATCGTTGGCTCTTCAAGGTTTTGATTTCGGATGAGAAGTAAATTTGCTGCGTGAGTTTAACCCACAGCATTAGCGCTGATTCTAACTCTTCGACGGTGAGAGGCTCGTGAGATGAGCGTGATGCGACAGATTTCCGAAAGAGTTGAAGAGCACGCTGGACCCAGGCGGTAGTTCTGATGAGGGTCGTCAGCGATGAGTATCGATCGAGCATCGAAAGTTTATGTTCATGATTTTCCAATGCAGTTGTACACTGCGGAGGCCGTTCTTCGAGGTTGTCCGTAGACTCGAGAATCGGAATTGAAGACGGCCAAGATGTCGAATGCGTATGTAACCAATGAGGACCGGTCCACCAGAGTTCGTTTTGTTGAAGACGTTGAGGAGTCACGCCTCGTGATGCTAGATCAGCGGGATTCTCCTTCCCGGAGACGTGATGCCATCTAGAGTTTGAGAGCTCTTGAATAAACGAGACACGATTCCGTACGAAGTCTTTCCACCGGGATGGATGACTTTTGATCCACGTAAGAGCGACCGTCGAATCGGTCCAGAGATGGGTTGGCGCGGTTTGTAGTTCAAGCACTTCGCGAATTTTGAGAACTTGACGCACGAGCAGCACTGCGGCTGAGAGTTCGAGACGCGGTATAGTCATTCGTTTGAGAGGGGCAACTTTAGTCTTTGAGCAAATGAGTTTTATTTGAGCGTCGTCGATGTCACTGAGAACGCGGAGATAAACGACCGCGGCGAGTGCACTTTGAGATGCGTCCGCGAAACCGTGCACTTCCACGGCGAGATTCGAAGCACTTGTTCCAAACCAACGCGAGATAGCGAGACGAGAGATGCATGTGAGTTGAGCGACGTAGATTGTCCATCGTGACTTTAAATCTTCCGGGAGTTCGTCGTCCCAGTCGAGACGTATGGCCCACAGTTCTTGCATGAACAGCTTTGCGGTAACTGTGATAGGCGTAATCCATCCGAGTGGATCAAACATGCGTGCGATAAGCGATAGCACTGAGCGTTTTGTAACGCGATTTTTCGAGATCGCGAGCGACGGCGGAGAAAACACGAAACTGTCTGATTTGCGTTCCCAACGCACACCGAGAGTATGATGTATCGCACTGTCGTTGACCGAGAGCGTAGGAGATGTTTCGCGATCGCAGGCAGGGATATCGTCGAGCAGATTTGAATCGTTAGCGATCCATTTTCGGAGCGTAAAGCCGCCCGCCGTGAGAGTAGTTCTTAGTTGCGAGATTTTTTCTTTCGCCTGAGAGATGCTTTCGTCGCCGGAGAGAATATCATCGACGTATGTGTCGCGACGAAGAGTTTCGGAAGCATGAGGGCGAGTCGAATCGTAATCGAGAGCGAGTTGCCGTAAACAGCGTAGCGCGAGATATGGAGCACACGCGAGGCCGTACGTTACGGTACACAATGCATATTCTTGAGGCCTTTCGTCGAGAGAGTCCCGCCAAAGAATTTTCTGTAACGGCCAATCATCCTCATGCACGCGAATCTGCCGATACATTTTCTCGATATCGGCCGCGAACACGTATCGAGCCGTCGCCAACGGATGAGGATGTCCGCGAGATCCGTTTGTAGTTTCGGCCCGACAAGGAGAAACTCATTTAACGACAAGCCGAGATTTGTTTTTTGCGATCCGTTAAACACGACGCGCAGTTTTGTTGTCGTGCTAGTTTCACGCGTAACACCGTGATGCGGTAGAAAAAACTCGCGAGATTGGGCGCGGTTTGATGCGACGGGACGCATGTGATCGAGAGAACGATACTCACGTAAAAAGTCGATATACTGGATTTTGAGCGATGGATTCGATTCGAATCGTTTTTCCATGCGATACAACGCCTTGAGTGCGATAGAGCGAGAGTCACCAAATTCACTAACACTCTTCTTGAGAGGCAAGCGTACCACAAATCGTCCGTTGACGTCGCGAGAATGAGTCGTTTTGAAATGTTCTTCGCACTGAGATTCTTCTGGAGACATTGAGATTTGAGAGGCAGGCGCGATTTCTTCTTGTGTCCAGAAGCGTTGAAGGAGCTCCAGGAGCTCAGAGTCGAGAGAGCACTGAAGACCGATGACTGAGTTGTTTTCCATGGCGTTGGTCTTCGCATTATCATTTGAGAGGGGCCCTGATAGCACCCATCCGAGAGTCGTTTCTTGAGCGATGGGTTCGCCGATATTTCCTCGACGAATACCGTCTTTGAGTATTTGAGCGTGCACCGTTACACTTAGTATGAGATCGATTTTTTCGGGCGTGGCGAAGTTTGGATCCGCGAGCTCGAGACCTTGTATGTGCGGCCACTGAGTATATTCGACACGCGCGGGAGGCAGATAGGACGTTAATTTCGGCAGTACGAGAGCATCGACTTCGAGAGAACTGTCTTTATGCACTTGAGATATCACTTTGAGACAGACGAGTCCGTTTGATATGCTTGAGCGATGAGCTCCGATGCCGAGAATCGGAATAGCCGCCGCTTGACGCGAGAGTTTTAATAATTGGGCGACCGATTCCGAGACAAACGAGACTTCCGATCCTTGATCGATAAGAGCGCGCACTTGATAGATATCTCCGGTTGATGACACTACGTTTACGAGAGCTGTGGCTAATAGAACCGGAGTGCGACGGATTATCCGCGATTGAGCGACGTGACTTGATGTCACGGAGTTTGAGATTTGCTCGGTATTCCGTAGAGGAGCAACAGATTCGTGTGGCGGAATACCTGCAGTATGAATTGCTGGCGGAGACGATGTGATTGTCTTGACGACAGGCGTCGACGAGTCTGAGTGTGCAGCTGCTGCACCGATCGCTGCGTTACCGGCTTGATAATGTAACGTGGAGTGATGTTGCTTGTGGCAGAGACGACAGCGTTTTGTTGAGCGGCATGATTTTATCTGATGAGGCCCGAGACAATTAAAGCAGAGATTTTTCGAAATTATTACTTCCTTTCGCTGCATGGGTGTCTTTTCGAGATACTTTGGACACGAGGCAATGTAATGTCCCGATGAACACAACGCACACTTTTGATCAGTCACAGTAGCGGTATATGCCCGAGCGTGAGCGGGAGATCGAGGTGCACTTGCGTTTTGTTTCCGAGAATTCGTTGTTCGTTCGAAGGCTTCGAGAGTGAGAATACGACCGAGAAGAAATTTCTCGAAGTCGGCGAACGATGGTGGTTGCGATGTGGCTCCGAGTGATTTTTCCCACTCCTTAACAGATTCGACATCTAGTTTGCGCACTGTCATAAAGATGAGAATGATGTCCCAGTGATGAACTAGGCAGCCCAATGTAGCGAGGGCTCCGATTGCTTCCTTCAATTCGCAGAGAAGGCGTTTCACTTCCGATGCACATTCGGATTTCGCCTTGCAAATCGAAAACAGAGCGGAGAGCTGAGCCTCTATCAGGATACGCTTGTTGTCGTAACGGTCAATGAGAGTATCCCATGCGCGATTGAATCCTTCACTTGATATCTCAACGCCTTTCAAGAGAGTAGCCGGTTCATTCGATAGGCTCATCTTTAAATAATGAAGCTTTTCGACAGCAGAGAGATCGGTATTCGCGTTGATCATAGAGGCAAAGAGATCTCTGAAATGACTCCACTGCGAATATTCGCCGTTAAATTTCGGTAAATCGATGCGAGGCAAACGTCGAGAATGAGATGCGGACGATGAGTTCATAAAAGTTTCGGCTGATGGATTCTGTTGAGGTGGTTCAAAACTGTCGAGGATAGTGAGCATAGTGCCTTGCGCTTCGGCAAATTTCTCTTCGCATTGCTCGTAGATCCTATCGACAACGTAGTCCAGCTTCTTTAATTCTGACGATTTCAGCTTGTATAGATTTTCGTGTTGAGCCTGGAATTTTTCCCAATTAGCCTTTAAAATTGTTAAGCGACTTTGCACCGCACCACGGGTGGTCCTCGCAGGACCGAGCTTTTGTAGGTTCTCGCAAGCGCGAGCGATGAGGCCGAAAAGTTCATTCTGACGATCGAGAAGGGCTTCGAGAGTCATCCTGCCGATTATAGATGATGAGAAGTTCGAGAGTCAATGCACACATTCACAGTTGCACTGTGAACGAGATTGATGTGTCACCTTTGATCGCGGTGAGAGATATTCAACACTATTGTCACGCGCGGTATAGAAAGATGCGAGTAGCTGTGAGGGATAGAGAATCGATAAACGCGACGACTCACTTTCCGAGAGTTACGTAAATCTCGAGAATTTCGGTTAAAAGAGAGCGCGAAACTACGCCCGCGATCCGCGAATCCGGCTCGAAGGACCAAACAATGTTTGAGATATACGCGTGATCCGGCACTGGCGACGTCGAAATCTCGAGATTGTTAGAAAAGTAATTAGAGGAGAACTTGTCGTGGATATCGATTTATTCTTTACGAACGCTGAGAGACGACTGGCCCGTCCGCAGACGGCAAGCCGTGAATTTTGACAAACAAGTATGAAGAGGGGGTTGACAAACAGTTTTGATAGATTTATAATATCTCATGTACAGATAAAGAGAGAGTGTACAAAGAAATGTAGAGGACACATGACTCCTTTGTATTACGAACGCGAAGTCGGCGCGAAAACAACAAAAAGGTGCGCAAATAAGAACGCGGAGAACAGTATCCATAGAATTTAACTCGATAACATTTACAGACAATATTTGCTTGACGTTCGAATTTACCGTTCGTGACTTTACTAAATTTTAGAAGCGAATATTACTAAACATGACGATACAACGTGATCTTAAACTGGATATAATTTTATTACATTATTGTGTCGAAACATGTATGTTCATATTAATTTTTATTTGATCAATTTTTTGTGATAAATATTAATCGGAGAAACTCATAAAATTCTTCCAGTAAATATCATATTGTCCCACAATTTTCGGGGTAAATTTTAAAAGAAAATTTACCCTAAGAAAATCATCGAGAATTTGATAAAAATTTCTCTGATTTTTACACCACAATAAGATATAAAATATATTCGATAAATATTAATCAGACAAACTTACAAAATTCCATATTGTGTCTTACAATTTTCAGGGTAAATTCTAAAAGAAAGTTCTCCGCGTGTACTGTAGATACATATATGTAGTAATTCGAATGCACGAGGATGCACGAAATTCGGATTCGTTTCCGCCCGGTCAATACACCTTTCCAATATGCCAGGCAACACCTGCGTGTGTTGTTGGAAAATGTGCGTTTACGCGAGCATCTGCTCCAATGCACGATCTACTGGCCTATTTCCAGCTGCGTGTCCCGCAACCGAAAGAGGCACTCGCCCCAATTAATTATAAATTATCCAGGATGACGCGTTTCGAAATCCCCTTATCCAGACACACCCCTTAACCGAGTATAGAGTCAGACTGTGAATAGGACGAAGTGGAAACTGAGGCGACAAGTCCGACAGAAAAAATACTTTTCAAATATTCTGAAAATAGGTGTCATTTCGAATATTTTGTACTGTATTTTATATTTAATGCTTATCAATATATCTAATCTGTTATGCAAAATTAGGATATATATTTAAAAAACATAATTCTCTAAAAGAAACCAAATACATTTAATGCAGTTAAAATAGTTTGAAAACATTCTAAACATATCTGCGTTATGCACAATGCATTAAAAAATGTATAAAAAGATGCGTAAATGATAATGTAGCCGATCTTATTGTTAGTCTCAAGGCTGCTGCACTGTGCGAACACCTGTCTCTCATTTCGTTAAAAATCACTCCTAGACAATGAAAGGCTAAACTTGTTTTATCGAGGCACTCGTTTTTGTAAATGAAAAAGCAGAGAAATTTATTGCAACTATTATACATATAAATCATCACATAGTCGTGCATTTTAAAAAACTTAATTCTGCATCGACACATGTGTTTGAATATTAATCAGAACTGATTAGAAGCTTAATAGATTATTCTGAAAAGATATTTAAAATATATTAGAATATATTAATATATTAAATGTACATTATATTTATTATATTAATATATTATATTATATTACATTATATAATAGTATTAGTACATTAAATATATTAATAAATAAAATTGGGAATCTGTATTACTATACAGAAAAATTGTCTTATATTTAAAAAAAAATTGCAGCTTAAATAAAATTTGCGGAATATATTATAAACCATATTGTATAATTGTCGAAAAAATCGGATGATCGCAAAAGACGAAAAGAGAACAAAATCAGCTTGGTGCGCGTATAGAAAAGGAACAAAAAGGGGCGAAAAAAAGTATGAAAGGAGATCACGAGTGGAACGAGAACAAAAGTACTCTGCAGTACGGAGGAGACGGTGGCAATTTGCACTTAGAACACAGAGCGAGAACAGCCGATATTTAGTATCCTGTCGCGTTATTACGCTCGAGGTACCCCAGAGTAAGAGACAAACGGGGTCCGGAGATGACTGAGAACGGGATGAAGCAAGAGGGAACAGGCGGGATATAAGGTGTAGACTTACTTTAGATTCTGCGGTGTGGAATTACCGTACTTATATTCAACTTTAATATTAAGTTACCACTTTGCTTTACGGCAAGTGAACAGGCCGCCTGCATATAGGAAGCCATCCGAGCGCTCCTGGGACAGTCGTTCATCTCTTTATCTGGGCCCACCTACAAATAACAAGGTTCGTTCGAGGAAAATCCCGCTTTTATTATTATATACACAGTAGACAAATTTGTGTTTCCTTGTGAAAAATAGTCCCCGTTCAAATTTTTGTGGTCAATGTTTCACACCTTCATGTGTTAATTTAACATATCACTGTTCTGTTAATTGAACTTGAATGTTAAAAGAACTGAAAAAAATTGTCAAAATAACACAATGTGCATCTATTTTTAATTTTACATAATAAATATATTCTGCTTTATTAGTGATAAAATTTATCTGTTAAAATTTATAGGAAAAAATGTTGATTCTCTACATTAAAAGTATGTTAATTTTACACAAAATTAAAATATTAACTTAATATTTGTGTCTCCATTTAACATATTCATATTATGTTAAATTAACAGAAAAATTTTTGTGGACCGTTTGGGACACGTGATATCTGTCAAATTTACCAGAACGTTTTCAACTGTGTAAGATATATCGACGAGATTTTCCTTGGAAGATTGGAAGTTCCTATTGCGACGTGGAAAAGTGTAGCCTCAACCGGGTTCAGGGGTCTATAGAAGTGCTTGGAACACATATATTTTTGCTGGTTCACCCCGTTCTTCTTAATCGGATAAAACTGGTAAAAATCCGTAATTTTTGGGAGACGAAAAAAGGTACGTAATTATCGCCTGAACAATAATTGATCTCGTAATATTCGACGCATGACGTTTGCCCTTGTTTCGCGAATCCCTGACCTTCCTCCGGCGAGATAGCTGTCATCTCGTATACGGCTTCGTTGGCTAATCCTATCTAAAAAATTCCCTCGAGTGCGTATTTTACATCGCGACGATAGAAAGTGAAGAAATTTTGCGCATATAAGAAGGTAGAGGTACTGACTTCTGTGCGTGCTGGGGTATGAACTGGACTTCCTAGCACCATTAGAAATCAGTACTACTCTTCTTAGCATTCGGCAAAGTTAGAGGGAGCGAGACGGGATGGTTTTCTCGTTTTGAGAGTTGAGGAAAATCTTGGGGAGAGAATCTTGACGGAGGATTCACGCAACTCTGTGAGAAAATAATTAAATGTTTTCTTCTTTTTTTAATCTTTTTCATACATCGTCGTTATCATTTTTTTTTTTTTTTTTCATATCTATACATATTCTTTTTTTTATCTTTACAGCCATTAGTACGGCATTACGCCGATACGAAGACGTAATATTCATACGTTAGGTTTTGTGCGGTGTGTCCTGTCTTATTATTAAATTACAGTTCTTTTCACCAACCCTCTTATGCGTGCGTTTCATTCCTCCAGTATATAACTGTTGTTATATTATTACAATATACACTCATAAGACATAGACAATGATTTTATCCCCCTAGTAGAGAATTAAAAGTGCGGCCTTTGTTGCCTAAACTATTCTAGCTGTCAGACATCTGTAGTGAAATGATGATATGTAAAGGATATCATGAAAAAATATAAAAGATTTCGAATTACTAATTAAAAATCTTTTAATTCTCGCACGTAATCTTTAAATATATCAAATCAGATAATTATATATCAATTGAATTAAGAGATCTTAAGATAAAATTTGAGTTTCAAGCATTCTGACATCGCACTTTTATGTTTGCTTCATTACAATAATTTTTACTAGAAGGAAATATATCATTGTAATCGAGTGTATGTTGTGTAATAGTCGTACACGCTTATATAAATATCATTACACATACTTACACACACTCACGCACATATGTATATTGTATAGATATATATTGTATATACAAGATGTCCTATGCAGGTAGAATCTAAATCAATATCTTTTTCCTTTGGTAAAATTTTTGGAAATACATCGTTCGAGATGTCTTATATTGTTGCTTTTAATATATACAATACATATGTCAGTGTACTATTTTTCGATTTATCATGTAAACATTTTGATAATTCTGTTATAATTAAAATTAATATTTATATTTTTAAATATAAAATAAAATACTTTGGAGAGAGTTCATTTTTGAGCTGACATAAATATATGTATATAACGATCAAAGAAATTGCAACTCTTTCTAATTCGCGATTGTGTTCACAAGTGCGAAATATCGAATTCATTTCTTGACAAATAAGGAAAATATTGCCAAAGAAAAAAAGATGCTAATTTTTTTTTGCAAGAAATATCGGTTTATATAATTTATATATAACAAAATTATATAAATTTATATAAATCGGTTTATATAATTTATTAGTTTAAATATTTTATTATGTAAGACATCCTTCGTATGCATATACATACATATATACATATAGTATATGCGCGTTGTGGATATGTGTACATATATTTTAATAATTTGCGAGGAGTATATGAAACACTATAATAAATAATTTTTATATTCATACATAACTTGGAACTATACGGTAATGACTGTGGCGATGGCGTAGTAAGGGAGTACGTGTTTATATATATATACAACAACAATATCAAATTCGTTCGCGTGATGCACTCACCGTACAAAATGTAGCGTGCAACAGACCAGCCAGCCTTTCCCCAATGTCTGCTACTTTTCGCGTGGCTGACGAAAAAGCGATGAAAACGGGCATCCAGTTGAAAAATGAGAAGATCAAAGACACTTGATACTCTCTTTATACAAAATGCAATGTGTACCAATTAAAACACCATGTTTTAAAGAGTCTGATAGTGGAAAATATAAGTCATAATTTTGCAAGTTATTAATAAAGAAAAAGGAGTAAAAATGTCATGACTAAGTTTCTTAACAAAAAATGTAATTCGCATAAAAAGTGAGTCAATAATTTTAAGAAAATATATTTAATATTTAATATTAACCTTTCGACTTTGATCTGTCATGTGTTTTAACATTTTTGACTTATATCTTTTTAAATGTCGAATATATAGAAATCCAATCCGAAGGAATAAGTTGCACCGTAACAATTGTCATACTATCTGACAATTCACCTCTCGACGCGTTTCGGCTCAGCCTTTATTTAAAAAAACTCTAAATTTCAGCTTTACCTCTCTATGTGCGGGCTTCCCTCGAATACAGGCGCGAATGCAGTTAACTCTTATCGGTAATGACTTATCGCTAGTGCATAATTAACGAACGAGATTGGAACGATTTCACCCGAATGGGTTACGATGGCCGTCAAGCGACAACGAGGACGACAACAAGAATGACGACAAGATCCCTGGCGAATTTCCCCGGTGGTTAGATGGACTCCTTGCTTCGATTGATCGCCTTAAGCCTCGTCCAGGTTTCGCCGAGCGCTTTCGCAAAGTGATCATCAACTGCGCAAAGAATGTATAAAACAGATCGGTTCAACCCAGACCGCCGAGGGAACCAATTCGACCGAACAGTTTTTACTTGGTCATTGCATATCCAGACTTTGACTTTTTTTATAAAATTTTTAGAAAACAAGTCTTCCAATAATTTCCTACCTATTTGATTGAATCGAGATTTAGAAAAATACCTTCTCGCTCCGAGAAGAGAAAAAATTGTTTAAATTTATTCACATTTCACAAGTACAATAATAAATCGAATCCAAATCGAGTCCAGCCCGGACTAAAATATACCATCATCCATGGTTGACTCTCTGGATTCAGAGGGTTGCATCCACCCTTTTACCCTCTTTTCGCGCGCGAATAAATGTTTAATATACACTTACCGCTCAGGCCGGTTTCCTTGTCGGTAGTAGTGGCATTAAAAACTGCTGCGTACTCTTTCAGACCCAACGATCGTTTAAAGTGCTCATCGATCGCGGGATCGCTGACGCCACCCGCTGTTCTGATCCCGGTCCTCTGTCCACCCGTCGTAGTAGGCATCGCCGTCGGCGTGGACGTCTCCGTCGTCTCCTCGACTGTGCTACCTGAAAAAAATGCAACCGGAAGCCCTTTCGTTAATTAATGCGAAATAAGCAGCAGCTTGGTAACGTCGCGCAAAATGTATGTATGACATTACTCTTCTACATTTTATATTATTTATTAATATAATTATGTAATATTATATATATATATATATATATATATATATATATATATTTATATATGTATATATAGAGTATCTAATATAAGGTTTCACGCCGAAAATATATATACAAATAGATGTTGTTATTTGGCGACAATTTTTTCTGAGCAAAAATATTGAGGCATCAATAATAATTTTCAAGTTATAAATGATTGAAAATAAAGGTTTTTCGCAAACTAAGCCTTGTGGAAATAAAATATTAACAAAACCACATTCTTCAATTATTTTCAAATAAAGAATTTACTTTGATAAAATTTTAATTTCAGGTTTAGTTATAAAGATACATGATGACAAAAATTGGGAACATGCAACAAATGATGACATTTTTGCTGAGGAAAAATCGTGTTCAAATAACGAGATCTACTTGTATATTTTCGGTGTGTGACACTTTATGTCAGACATCCTGTATATAATTGTTATCTATAAATCAGAAATTCATAAAAAAATTAAAAATAAAGGAAAAAACATCGCGGAAATACATAAAAAGTAATTCAATAGTATAGAAGACTTTAAATTGCAGCATCCTTTTTAAAGGAAATAAACCAATTTATTATTTCCTTTAATTTTAACATAATTATTTAATTTATTTTGACATTGTATTGCGACTTTTTATTAGAATTTTTATTTATATTTATTTATTTATTATAATGTTTATTGCGCACTGAAGAAGACTGAGTACAGTTCGAAACGTTTGTAATTGGTTTTTTTAAATTAAAGTTTTTCCAAGATTTATAATAATTTTTTATTTGCTCGTTACACATGGCCTCGTAATAGTTAATAAGTTATCATTGTGTTTATTATTTCCTATATTATTGAAACGTAAATTGAGAGATTAGTTAATATATATTAATCGTGTTTAACAATAATATTAAAATTTTCAACAGAAATATTTATATATATTTCGAATAAAAAATCAAAGATTATAAATATCAAATATATCTAGTGTCGATGATATAATTCGGAATATCTGTCATCGTATTAATTCCACGCATGACTAATACCAGAATTAATGTTTCAGGAAAGTCTGCAAGCACGAAGGAATGCACGTAGGAATTAACCGTATATTCCTATTGAAAGTGGCCTCACATCTGCACAATATTTCGGTGCAGCGGGCGTTGCGTTGCATTGTCATGGAACGCAGGCACCCCTATGACGACAATAAAGCTTCAGGGATGCGAGATGCTTAACGACATCGTCAGAATACCTGTTGTTAGTCGGCGGCAGTTAGGCAAAAATGTCGGAGACAACAATAAATTCATTGTTTATACAAACGACATAATGGACATTACGTAACGACGGTATGGCGATATTCTGTATGGTCTCCTAAAATGATCTTTTTTATTCTTGTAATGAAAGAGAAACGAGAGAATGCCATCTTTTTTCAACTAATCGAATTTTTTATATTTATTTTTAATATTCTATCATTTTAATAATTTTATTAATACAAATTGTAATTATTATTTATTGCTATATATTATTGATTATTTGCTCACAATTATTAATTTAATTTTTCTCTGTAAATATCGAGTATTCAAATGATCTATAATAAAATCTTGGTTTTAATATTTGTTGTATTAAAGCATTTTATCTCATTCTTCAAAATTAAGATGTTCTATAATTAAATCTAGATTTCAGCGTGTATTGTGTCAAAACTTTAAAAGAAATATCAAGTATATACAAGATGTATCTACATAAGTGCGAAAAATTTTAGGAGAGGATTCTTTATCGAATATTAAGGGAGGAGGGTTCTTGTATAAAATTTGTTTTCTCAAATTCTAGACAAATTAAAAAAAAATAAAATGAAAAATATCCACCAAATTTAATTTTTTAAATTTGTCTGAAATTTGAGAAAAGAAATAAAAACTTGATTTTTACCTCCTTCTTTAGAAAAGTACAACTCCTCAGGGAAAGATATAAGAGTAGGTATATATTTATATAAGAAACCCTCCTTAATTTTCGACAAAGAACCATCTTCTAAAATTGTCCGCGCTTATTTAGATACACCTATTATATAGAACTTGAATCTATTATGACTGTTTTCAATATTAAGACTACAATATCGTAATTCAAATTGACGTCTCTATTTCGTCACTTTTCTTTTTCTCTTCCAACATTAAAACTCTTTAATATTAAAACTTCATCCTCATCGATTGAATTAATAAATGACATCTCTGTCCTTTGACAGATCAAAAATGTTATAATCCAACGTAAAATTTCCTGACATATATCTGATTTTGTATTAATATATTTTTTTATTTTTAGGACAAAATATTCCTCTCACCAGCTTGTGGCATCGTAGGGACGATCACACTTGGTCTGCTGTGATGATGATGCTGTCGTGCCGCCGACATGTCCAAAGCTTCGTTCTGAATGGGATCTCTCCTACGTTCTTTGCGCCACGCGCTGCTCGGCTTCCGATGCAAATTCGTCGACTTCGGTCTCTCCTCTGCAACACACAAAGGCACCGATGATGCAACTGTGAACGCACATCACCGGTGAAGATCGCGGATTAACGATTCGATTATTACAATCTTATGTTACTTCTCCAATCTCTTTTATATCAATCACGGTCGATCTGTTGTAATTGTTGTCTCCCTGTGCCATCTTCGCTGCTCTCAATCGAATCCCTTTTATGTTCTTTTGCGCCCCGATTCAAATAATGCGAGATAATAATTCGTAGAGAATATGAGAAGATAAGTGTTAGGTTTATCGGATATCGGTGGAAAGATTCACAACTCGGTATGTTATATCTAAAGGCTCACAAGGTGAGATATACATATATATTTATGTCTTACTGTTATGCCGGGCGGAATACAAGTGAAGTGGCGAGAGTGTGCGCGAGTCGATTCGGTCTCATCGCGAACGTCGCGCGGTGCTCTGCGGCCTCGCCATCTGCTGTCTTCCTTAATTACAATAGCGCGCCTATTTCGGATTACAGTAGCGCGCCTATTCGAATATCAATAACTATCAATTATCCTAACACCTTCCTTTCTTGGAAAAGGCTTACTATTTACGCCGCACTTACGTTTGTATATATGTTTTTTTTTCTCGCGCTTACAATATCTTGGATCCTTTAGATCCTACGTTTCCGTAACGCGATGGCGGTTGGCGCTTCCTAGTCGAACGCCGTACGCTCTCACTTAAATCTACTTTGTCTCTTTCGTGTTCTGGTTGTGGCGTGGCGTTTGGACTTAGTGGAATCTGTGATACCGTTTCGCCTCGTAGTTCAGCATCCGCTTCCTCATTTTGAACTTTATTGTCCTGTAATGTTTCCTCTATCGGCCCGTAATCAGTGTCCTCATCCGACTTTAAAGATCGGTCACCGATTGGCCGTAACTGATTAATATGTCTTTTCCATATTCGATCATCGTCGAGTTTAATCTTATAATGTAGTTTGCCTAACTTTTCTATTATTCTACCGAATTTCCACAACTCTCTTCCTATGTAGTTTCTACACGCTACTCGCTTGTTTAGTGCCAATTCCCTCGCTTTAATTTCCTGATTAATTCTATCTCTATCCTCTTCTTTCCTCGGAAAAATCAAGTCTAATTTAGTACGCACTTTTCTGCCTAAAAATAACTCCGCAGGTGACATTTTTGTGCTCGTGTGTGGAGCTGCGCGATATTGTAACAAAAATTGTTCCAATTTGACAGCTATATTACTTTCGTTTGCATTCGCACGTTTTAATCCATTTTTGAGTGTTTGTATAAATCGTTCGGCTTGGCCATTAGTGGCCGGATTATATGGCGCTGTACATTTATGTATAACTCCTCTACTTCTGAGAAAATTCTTAAATTCCTTGGAAATGAATGTTCTTCCATTGTCTGTAACCCATATTTTTGGAATGCCGTATGACGCAAAGATATTTGTACATTCTTTAATGATCGTCTTAGCCGTAATATTTTTCACGATCCTCACTTCCGGCCATTTTGAGTACGCATCTACCATTACAAATAGCCATTTCCCTAAGAAGGGCCCCGCAAAGTCCGCATGCACTCGGTGCATTGCTGCTGCCGCCGGTTCCCAAATGTGTTGCTCCACTTTTGGTGGGTTATTTCGTACTTTATTGCATGCTACGCAATTTTCTACTAAGCTTTGAATGTCTTTATCCAGGCCCGGCCACCAGCAATAACCTCGCGCAATCGCTTTCATTTTATTTATGCCAAAATGACCCGTATGTAATTGTTTTAACGCTAATGTACGCAATGTTGGTGGAATTACCACTCTAAACCCTCTCATAATTACTCCGTCTTGTAAATTAAATTTCTCCTGACTTAAATTGAATCTATCTTCGCTGAGTGCCTCTTTTCCTGTCTGCAATGCACATAATAACTTTTTCAGTTTTGTATCTTTACGCGTTTCTTTTTCGATAAGATTTGCATCTAACAACAACTCTTGTAATTCTTCAATTTGAAATGCTTCTACTACGTCTGTATTACTATTACTTTCCGAAACCGGTAATCTTGAGAGACCATCTGCATTTCCGTGCTCTTTAGAATTCCTATATTTAATCGTGTAATTAAATCCCTGTAAAAATATTGCATAATGCTGCATCCTCATTGCACTATACACGGGCAGACTTTTATTCGGTGCAAAAATTTGTATTAACGGTTTGTGGTCGGTAATTAACGTGAACTTATTGCCGTACAAGTATTGATAAAATTTCTTAATTCCGTAAATTATGCCGAACGCTTCTTTGTCTATTTGCGAATATTTTTGTTGCGTGTCCGACAACGTTTGCGACGCGTATTGTAGCACTTTTTCCGTTCCGTCCGAATGTAATTGAGATAAGACGGCCCCCACTCCGTAAGGGCTTGCGTCCGTCGCTAAAATTAACGGTAATTTTGAATCGTAGTGTGCCAATATTTGGTCACTTAGAAAAGCATCTTTCGCTTTTATAAACGCTTGTTCCTGCGCTTTAGACCATATGAACGGAACTTTTATATGTAATAACTGATTCAACGGATACAGTATCGCACTTAGATTACGTATAAATCTCCCGTAATAGTTTATCATTCCAACGAATGCTCTCACTTCTTGCACGTTTTTAGGCCGCGGCATACTTTTAATCGCTTCAACTTTGGCCCTATCTTTAAGTATTCCTTCCTTTCGTAATGTAAATCCGCAATATTGTATTTCATCCATCATAAATTTTGACTTCTCTAAATTTATTCTTATATTGCGATTCTGTAACCGTTGTAAGACTAAGTCTAATCTTTGTAAGTGTAAAGCTTCTGACTCGCCCGTGACTACAATGTCGTCCAGAAACACCGCCGTTCCTGGAATTCCCTGTAATATATTCTCTATGGTTCTCTGCCATATTGCCGGTGCGGACGCGATCCCGTACATTAATCGATTTACTTTAAATAATCCGCGATGTGTATTCAATGTTAGTATCTCACTACTTTTCGAATCCACCTCCATTTGTAAATATGCTTGACGCAAGTCTATTTTGGAGAATTTTATCCCGCCTGCTAATTTTGCAAATATTTCGTTAATTGTCGGAAGTGGGTGCTCATCCACAATTAATTTTGGGTTTACCGTAGCTTTGTAATCCCCGCATATTCGTATTCTACCGTTTGATTTTAGAATCGGAACTATCGGCGTTGCCCACTCCGAGTTTTCAATTTTTGTAAGCACTCCTACCCGCGACAACTCTTCTAACTCTTTATCTAGTAATGTAATTAACTTAAATGGCACCGGTCTTGCCTTGAGAAATATTGGAGTTGCTTTAGGGCTTAACCTTAACTTTGCTTGCACTCCCGTTATCTTCGCCCACTCGTCTGATTTTAAATCTCTGTATCTTTCTAACATTGCTTCTAATTTTAATTCCTTTTCTTCTATATTATCTACGGCATTGCAGTCTAGAAAATCAGGCACTCCGCCTGGAACAGCGAGTTGGTGTATCCATTCTCTACCTAATAGCGGTTTCCTATCTATTTCTGTAATGTATATATTTAATTTACGCTCGATTTGATCGCTTCTAACTGATACTGTAATATAACCTTTGATTCCTATTACCGTTTTGCAAAACGCGACTAGATTTAATTTTGTAGGACAGATGATCGAACGTGGAAAGAACCGTCGTGCATCGTACCTGTTCATTACGGTTACCGCTGATCCACTATCCACCTCGAATTTAATACGCTTCCCATCGACTCGTAACGTGCAGTAAAATTTGTTTCTAAATTGGGAATGCTCGAGCTGTAGTATGTCCTCTAATTGATTTGCTTGTTCCTTTGTTTTGAAACATACTTTCTTCAAATGTCCGTTTCCGCCATAGCCAGAACAACGAACTTCCTTACTAAGTGTACATTGCGAGGCCAGATGACCTCGACCGCATCTGAAACATGTTATTTGTTTACAAGTGTAACCTTTCAAATAGTTCGAGTTATTTGTCCTATTTACGTTCGCACGACCTTTCTGTCCCGAATTATCACGGAAATTAATATCGTTACCCGCGTGCTTGAAATTTGTATACTTTCCTTTTTGAAAATTATGCTGCCTTTTTCCTCCCGTCTTCCGTGGTTGATTTGCTCCTGCTCGGACGACATCCACCTGGGCTGTAGGTTGTACCACCGATACTTGTAGAGATGCTGAACCTCTCTCCGAGAGTTCCATTGTTGTGGCGACCTTCAATGCTTCTTCGTACGTTAGATCCTTTTTTTCCAATAGCCGTGTCTGTATTTTCTTGCTGGATAGGCCAAACACCAGCTGGTTTCTGAGCGCCGTTTTTAAGTATTCGCCAAATTTGCAGTGGATACTTAACTTATGCAGTGCAGCTGCAAACTGCTGCACGGTTTCCCCGCTCTCTTGACGCCGTTGGTGAAACCGGAAATTCTCTGCTATTTCCAAAGGTGGAGGTTCGTAGAATTCCTCCAAAATTCCTGTGAGTGACTCGTACGTTTGGCTGAACGGGTCCCCCGGATCCAATCGGTCGCACAAGATGTCGAACGCTGCTGACCCCACATAATATAGCAAGTAGGGTACACGTTCTCCATCTCGAATATTAAAAATCATGAAGGCACCTTGCAATCTTTGCAGCCATCTTCTCCATGTTGTATTTCCGGAGTCGAATGCCTCGATTGTAAGAGAGCTCGGCACCGCCGTCACCGGTGCTCGTAATGCGCCAGCACCTCCTGACGCCCCTGATCCATCGTTTAATGCCATTTTTTTTCTTATATGTACCTCTGGCTTTTTTTTTTCTGTACACGCTTCTTGAGCTGATCGTTGCCGAGCGAGAGAAAAAAAAAATTCCTCGGCCGGCACGTGGCACGCGGCTCTCGTCGCTTCACAGTTCTTCCTTACTGCCGTTCTTCGCGACCACGCACTTCTGATCGTAGATTAATTTACTTATGGGATATCGGGTGTACCCGATCCCATCCTCGTCGCCAATTTGTTAGGTTTATCGGATATCGGTGGAAAGATTCACAACTCGGTATGTTATATCTAAAGGCTCACAAGGTGAGATATATATATTTATGTCTTACTGTTATGCCGGGCGGAATACAAGTGAAGTGGCGAGAGTGTGCGCGAGTCGATTCGGTCTCATCGCGAACGTCGCGCGGTGCTCTGCGGCCTCACCATCTGCTGTCTTCCTTAATTACAATAGCGCGCCTATTTCGGATTACAGTAGCGCGCCTATTCGAATATCAATAACTATCAATTATCCTAACAATAAGATTACAGCGCGACACAATTTTCGCACGATTTTAAGCAAGAGACCTTCCGCTCTGACCTTCCGAGAAGAAAACATTGACTTGTTTTTCCTTTCTCGACGCTTTGGTTTCATACTGTGAAATGGAAGAGGAATTTTACGCATGCTTACTACACATCCAGAATAAAAGCCAGGCTAGTTACCTGTCTATAAATGGCCTTCTGTAGAAAAACACCGATTGTAAATATACTCGAAGGTATATAATAAAAAATTTATATGAATCTGTAAAAACATATAGGAAAAGATCGAGCAAATTTAATTGGCGCATCAACGCATATTTCTGGAGTCACATAATCAAAATTAACTATTTCAGTACATTTTTTAATAAAATGTTATATGTAAACGTTGTACAGGATGCGAAAATATCATCGAAATTTAATTGCGAAAAGTGCAAATCATATTAGAAAATATAATGATAATTTAACATACATTTTTCTCTTTCGGTATTTTTATGATTTTTTAAACACTGGTCAGTCAGTAAAAAAGTTAAACATTTGCTCTCCTTTTAAATAAACACTGGAATTTATTTGCATATTTAATATAAAAAAATTAAAATAACAAAAAATTAAATTTAAAAAAAATTAAGAAAGAACAAAAAATAAAAAAATATTTAAACTACACGGAATACAATTTTTTAAAGTTATAAGAAAAATGAAATACAAAATTCTAGGCGTGTCCTTCGAGTGTATGGCATTATCGGAATTTATAAAATTGCGAAGGATCGCCCACTTCCTCGCGACGTGATATCTAGAATTGAAAAACCAATCTAACAACAACCCTTTGCTGCGATCGATAGAGGAAGAACAGGAAGAGGACGAAGGAGGAGGGTGATAAAAACGAGTCCGGTTCCCAGGACAGGCAGGAAGTGCCTAATAGCCGTGAGAGGATCGTCAGAAAGATGGTAAAACTGGTTTAGAGACGCGTAGGGAAAAGATGAATGGACCGAAAAGGTGCGCGAAGCGAGAGGGTTTCCTCCGCAAATCGCTTGACTTCTCGATAAGTCCCGTTAATAATAATTAACAAACATGATTCCTGTTGCTTTATCTAATTGCAGAATACATCGTATAGCTGACCCTATATTCAGCGAGAGAATCGAAATGATCCCCAAAAATTCGACATTCAACATTCGACGTCTGATATGAATAAATATCTAAATATTTTATATTTTTTATATTATAAAAATTAAATAATTAATATAATTATAATAAAAAAAATTCAAATAATATAAATTTATGTTTAATTTACTTACATATTTAATATAAAAAAAATAAAAATTAACAAAATATAAAATAACAAAAAATTAACTTTTAAAAAAACAAAAACTGAAAGAATGTTTAATTTTATAAAATTATGTTTTATTCAATTTGCATCGATTTTTAGACTTTTTCAGAGTTCTCTGCCATTTTCCATCGCAATTAATTAACAAAAACATACCTTCCCATTTACGAACCAATCGAAGGCTATCGATGCTACGCCAAGGTTGCCAGAGACGTCGTCTCTTATTGTTAGACGCGACCTCCATTTTATCCTGAGAGCATTAATTGCAAAAGCAAGTCAAATTAAAGAGACCGCCCTTCCTTACGAGAGATCGAAAGTGACTGATCACCACAAAAGTTTATTGTTCTTCAGATGTATTCTATTCCTTTCCTCGAATCGAGATTTCGACTTATTCAGAGAAGTTTCTTCAGAAGAGCTTCTCGTATTCTTTTCAAACTTGTTCGATAAATTTACACTGGTTTAGAATAATTTTTATTTAATAACTTTCACATAAAAATTTTTTTTATCGAAGCACTTTTTGTCACTTTCATCTCCGAGATGAAGAAAAATTTACACACGATTTGCACTGCAAGAAAATGAAATTTTCGAATAAATTTCTCCTTTTCCGAAATTTTGGCACAATAATATCACCTTCTTAAATAAAACGAAGAAATAATCACAAACGGTTGAAGAGTCAAGAATGATTAAAGTTCGAAATAAGAAAAACGCAAAACAGACGGACGTCAGAGAAACGAAGAAGAGGCAAAAATTCGAGATATATATATATATATATATATATATATATATATATATATAAACGTTTATTCAGAAAAACGTAATAAAAAATGCAAAAAAAAAATCACAGAAGCTGCGAGATATTTGAAAGAGGCACGCATTCGCGGAGAGAAGCTGCGAAGAAGAGGCTCGGTCGAAATGCGCACAATTCTGAAGGCGATGATGAAGAGAAGCGGCGAAGTCCTTTAAGCGTCTCTCAAAGGCGCGTTCGTGATTTCGTGAATGCGCCTCTCTCACGACTGTCTTAAGATTCATTCATTCATCCACCACCGCTTTCTCGGCTTCGTCGTCTCCCCTCTCGCCAACTCAACACGTGGAACCGAAAGAGGTTGCTTTTTACCCACACACGTAAAGAAAGACGTGCAGCGGGGGTATCTTGCACGGATACATCGCGAATTCAAGTCTGTATTTGTAAGCTTGATACTACGAACGCGCGAAACTCGATTCTCTCTATCTTTGTCAGTCTTTTGCGCAGGTAGACACGATGTATAGGGTGTGTCGAGATCTAAAGCTCTACGTCATAAACATATCCGTTGATTCTATTTCAGATATCCGGTGAAATGATAAAAATGCGCGAAAAACACTCGAGATTCGGTCTTGTTCGCGATTTTTATATCTGACACTCGCAGTGTTGTGCTTAGATGATTTTTAAATTAGTTAGATAAAGATAAGAGTCATCTTAGATAAAATAAAGATGATTTCGCTTGAAATATATCTGGATAAAAGATGAAATTATATATGACAATTCTCATCTAGATCATTTTCTAGATAATAATTTTTAAGACTGCTTATGTTAACACAGTTATAAAAAAATGTAAATTATAAAAGGGATAGAAAACCAAAATTATCTGAAAATTATTCTAGATAATTTAGTAAAGGTAATACTTTCTTTCATCTAAGATGCAGACATAGATAATACATATTTTAATTATCTGTATAAAGATAAAATGACGCCAAAATTTTATCTAGATGATCATCTAGATAATTTTATTTAGATGACAGCAAACACTGCTGACATTTAGGCGAGTCAAATGTCAAAAATAAAAAATATATTAAAAAATTTTTTTAAAAATGTGTATTATCGCACGTGTAATCGTTAAAAAAATTGATTAAAATATGGTTTTATTAAGCGAGGATCGGGTCCACGTGTCAAGAATTGCAGGGATGACAGGACGACCCTCTATATAGAGACACATGATATAGAGAACCGGCGCATCGATGCGATGCACGCACGAATGCGTTAAAATAGCAGCAAAGAGTTTATTTTAATTCTTTCGATATTCATGTACCCGTTATATCATTATCGCACAGCAACTTTGTCGCCAAGTTCGCAAAAAATGCTAACTTTTTGCATATAATTTTTCTCTATAACTATGGCAGGCACTGTATATGAAAAATTCTATTTTAAAAAAATTTATATAGAAAACATCATATTTTGAATATAGGTATTGAATATATTAATAAGAGTAATAAAATAAAAAAATATATATATATAAAAATTAATCAGACTGGATAATATCGCAAAATTCATAGATGAAATATAATTATTGATATAATTTATATTAAAATTATAAAATATTAATATAATTTATATTGAAATTATTTTGTTAAAAAAATAAAAGAGAGAACTGTGACACAATTTATTAACATTCGTTCGTTGATATGGAAGGTCTACTTAATTTGCAACGCGCATGAATAAAATCATTGTTTTATTCATTCGATCTATTATTCGAAATAAAAATGTGAAATGCAATAGAGAATTTAAGCAGTCGATGCACATTTTGTTTGAAACCTCCTGATAAAATGCATCAGCGTAAGCAGAGCGCAGACGAACTCGTTCTGTTGAAGAATAAAAATTCGAGATCAGCAAATTAATGCGCACGAAGCTGAACACGTGTATTTAATCTGTAATATGCAGAATCGCATGATTATAAATGAAGACTATGCGGAACCGTTGTGACAACATTTCCAGGTACAGAGGTATTATTCAGCAAACATAAATGGGATTAGAACCCGATTTAATTACACAATCTTGCGATGACGAACGGCTAAGCAATAATCTTATTAATTATATATGTACGTCGTATTAATTAGATCGATCTTTCCTTAATGCTTTGAAACGACCGATTTTATGGAATGGAAATCAAAAAGAAGGAAAAATTTTATATATTTATACACGAAGAGAATTTTCTCTTAGAATTTACCCTGAAAATCGTGATAATCGTGAGATGAAATATGATATTTGAAGAATTTTTATAAGAGTTTCTCTTATTAATATTTACCATAATAAAAAATAAAATTAATCAAACATATTTTATATCTTATTGTGGTAGATATTAATATTTTTTATTGTGATAAATATTTAATCAGAGAAACTCTTATATAAAATTCCTTCATTACCATTCTATCTTTCTTCATCGGGCTAGATAAATTTAAAAAATTGGATAAATTTCGATTATAGTACTAATTAGCAAAGAAGCGTAAGCTATAGTTTCTGGCAAAATATATTTTCACACATTATTTATTTTTCAAAATTATGGTATCAATTAGAGATTGAAAAGCAGCTTGTTGTATATTTATATATGCACTCCTCTTATTTCAGCAATCGCACGTTCGGATCATTCTGCAAAGACGATTTCGTAAGGCGACTGATTGAATACAAAGAAGCGAAGAATGCGATTGCTCACACATCGTACGATCGATTCCGTATAAATACGATTGCGCGGATTGTAGCCGAGATATAGTAACAGCATTGTAATGTTACGATCGCGAATTTATGTCAGGTAATGGCACATTGCGTTATGACTCGACACCTGCGATAATAATAGGCGATATACCTATGCCGATTCTTGCCGCAGTTTGCATACGAACGAGCCTGCTTAACGCCATCGTGCACGCGCGCGAAATATAGAATGACTATTAAATGAATTATGCGAGGAATGTTGACAGCATGTCAAGTAGTCGTCGCTGTTTCTCAAGTCTGTGCATTTCTGTGCGTGAACTTGATCGCGTTACATCATATTATGTCTCTAAATATACTCATCATTAGAATATATTATATATATATAATATATAATACAATATAAAATATATATAATATATATAATATATAATTTGAAATTTTCTAGAAGAGACAATAAGAAAAATCGGAGAACTCTTTTAGAAAAAATGAGCAAGACAGAAAGATATAAAAGAACTTAATTAAAGAGGAAATAGAAATTTCGTTATAAATGTTTTGAGTCTCTATTTTTAATAGAGTTCGAAAATTTCTGTGCTTTAATTTGGACTGCGCATTATTTTATTTTATGACGGATTATTTTATTTGTTAAAGACATTCATTATGGTAAAACACGCAGGACTTCTCCAATTTTTATTAAGTTTAATTTCATAGTAAAATCTAATAATGAATTTATTGTAATTTTATATTTCATTATTTCTTTAATAAATCTAAATTATGTACCACAATTAACGAATTTAATAATATAGTATTTTTGCTTGAAATAATAAAAAAACTAGATATAATGCAATTAAACAATCTTTTAATATTTAATTTTTTGCTATCAAATTTTATATTTTTTCGCATAATTTTAATAATATTTAGTGATAAAAATAATCATAAAAATTATCCGCGTTGTAATATATAGTTATCTCTTATGTCTTGTGAAAATTGACATAATTTCGTGTAAAGTCGAATTAAAAATTATAATATAAAATAGAATAATATATAGAAATGATTAAGTTTTTAATTTTGAGGATAATAAATGGAAATAAAAATGCGATTATATTTTTGTAATCACATGGCAAATATTGAACTGGAATAAAGTGAGAGCAAAGTTTCGCCTCGAAGACTTCAGCAAGAAGCACGTTATTAGAAATTCTGGTCGCCCTAAGGTTCGCGCGAGTCGCAAAGTATTCCAAAAAGTGTAAACTGACCTTGCACCATCGTCGCCGCTCTGGAGAGGACATCCAAGGCACTCTCGACAGCAGACATCCTTTCGCTCGTCCCTCCTCCTTCTTCTTCTTCTTCTTCTTCCTCTTCTTCTTCTTCTTCCTCTTCTTCTTCTTCTTCTTCTTCTTCTTCTTCTTCTCTTCCTCTCGTATATATGTCACCCCGGCACGAAATTCGCGGGTAATTTGACAGTTCGCGAATTCTCAGCCTGCTCCTCCACGTATAGGATTTGTCTCCTTCGTCCTCCCAGCAAGGATACGCCGTCCTTTATCCTCGTTCGCACACTCCCACGTCCCGAAAGAAGGCACTTTCCTGTATAGGGACAGAAGTCGAACTATAACTGTTTGAGGCCTTCCTCGTGACCGCGAAGGCGGCGCAAATAAAGTAAAACGGGGATTAAAAAACGTGACATTGTCTGTGGAATGCGGACTCCTCTCTACCTCTCGCGAGACTCCCCACCCTCGCAATGTTTCTTCTTCCTCTCGCTCCCTCTTTCGCGGGAACTCTCTTCTTCTCGCGTGCCATGTACTTACATTAGCGACAGTATCAACACGTTCGCGTGAAGAATCAATCAAATGCCGATTGATAATAATCGCGTCAATTAAATACAAGGTGCTACGGTGGCATTTCTAATGACACATTCCTCGATCATCTCAGAATCCATTTTTCTTTTGCGATTATTGAATAATGCTATTAATATTAACAATTCGTGTTATCGTATTTCATTTTTGTATGAAGTCTCTTTACTGAAAACAAATTTATTGCACATTCGAAGAAATATTTATTTCAATACTCTGCCTAATTGAAACTAATAATATTGATTTGATGTGAAAAATATTTATAATATAAGAATAGAATCATTTTAAAAGAACAGGTAAATATTTGTTTGTTGTTTCGAATAAATGATTTATTAGGCAGTACTAATATAAATATTTATTAATTTAATAATTTTTTTCAGTGTTGATATCAAATACATACCTAAGGAAATTAATCTAATTAATTGCATTTTTCTTTAACGAGTTACAATTGAAATATATTAGGAGCTTAATGTTTAACGTTTAAAACATTTAAAATATGTTTAAAATTTGCTACAGATGATTATAATTAATGAAAAATAGTTAGAAACTCACTACTAGCATTTATGATAATTGTTTAATTTATTTTCCATTTGTTGCTCGATCATAGCAGATTTTTAGCAAATCTTTACCGATATATATATATATATATATATATTTCTTATATGCTTACATTCTCTTCAAATAACAAATATTGACAGTTTTACATTAATACAAAAAATCCAGTAACTCGACAAATATGCAATTATATTACTTGACTTCTTCGGTGAAATGCATAGAAATATATAGATGTAGAAAATAGTATAGAATAGGAATAATAGTGTACATTCTTAATATTAAAAGTATTAAACCGCGACAAATTATCATTATTACTGTTGTTCATTATTTAACTATGTTTGCTATGTCCCTGCTAAAGTATGCGAATAAACATTTACGTGTTTCATAATTTCTCATTAATATGCAAACTTTGAATGGAACTCGGAAACAATGCATTTATGAATCTATTGCTGCATTAGTATAATAATTAACAGAATAGAGATTAGAGTAAAATTTGATTAAAATTTTGACTAATCTTTTTTTAATTTCTTGTATGGAATTCAAAAATATTATATAATACTTTTAATAATAATTTTTGGATTACGGTTCTCGAATTTTTTGACGTAAAATGAAAAGGGAATCTACTATATGGTCGTTTCTACGACTTTATTTTAAACAAAAAAAGAAAAATGATATTTTCGAATATGTAAATTTTTTTGAAATTTCTATATAGAATTTTAAAAAATACAACACTTTTAATAATAATTTTCATATTTTATTTCTCGAATTTTTTGACGTAAAATAAAAAAAACCTACTATATGGTCATTTCTACGATTTTATTTTAAACAAATAGAGAAAAATGGTATCTTCGAATTTGTGAATTTTTTTTTCAAATTCCTATATGGAATTCAAAAAAATAGAATACTTTTAATAATAATTTTCAGATTTTGATTCTCAAATTTTCTGACGTAAAATAAGAAAGAAACCTATATGATAATTTCTACGACTTTATTTGAAACAGAGAAAAATGGTATTTCCGAATTTGTGAGAAGGAAAATAGGATGCGATTGCTGGTTTGTACCCATCACTACTTGTTTCTCATTCCTTCTCATCCCCTCGCATGCTTTTCCCACTTCTGGCCACACTACCGTACGGTCGACATCACGATTTCATCATAACAATATAAACAACCTTTTATTCGCCTCCCTTCCGCTCCACGCACTATTCTCTTTTCGGTATTTTACCCTTTTCTTCTTGTCCTTTCCAGAGAATCGCGCATTTTGTGCAAGCAATTGATGCAAATAAATCGATATAATTTTCCCTTTTTCAGTCCTTTAATTTGCTAAAATAGCTTTTTTTAATACTCATTCAGAATTAAAGTGTTTAATTTCGCTAAATAAAATTAACAAAATATAAATAAGGGAATAAAAGCAAATTGTTGAAAATATAAAGCTTCTTGATTTCGAAAATTATAAATTCGCAATTTGAGAATGATGAATTATTATTACCTATTAATTTACTGAATTAATTAGTTAATTATTATTGTCAACCTTTATAAATCTAAATTATATATAAATTATTAATATCAAATTCTTTTTAAATGTTCCATATCTTCAAAAGAATTTTACGAGACACCGCCCGCGATTTCGCATGTTATCATGTGTTTGTCGAGTTCCTCGCGTGATAAAGCAATGAGATAAGAAGGATGAATCTGGTTTACAAAGACGACCGTGCCGTGCCCCTTCCTCGTGTTTCTTTTTTTACGAGTAACGCACAGTGTAAACGTTTTATGAATCACGTCGTCTCAGCTGCCGTGCTATTTAAACGAAAGGACGGCCTAAATAAAGTGTACCGCGTGTATGTGAGAATCGCATATGCATATAACGTCATTTACACGAAATGACGCACATTTATAAACGCAAATTGATGTGAGAAAAGTCGGAATTCAGACGTATAAAACTTTAACATTCCAAACGAAACGTGTATAATTTTGATACAAAGTTTTAATCATTTCAATTCATATATCTTTCTAAATTTTCTCAATCCAATTTACTCAAGGAAAAATTTTATTTTTTTTCTTTCATACATTATTCTCTGTATTTTCTGTGATTGTGCATATTTTTGAATGAAAACGTTTATTTAATTACATTCTCTCTGTGCCGAAAATAAAAATGAAAATTTATTTTATTTGATACTTATATTATCTCTCTGATCTCCATCATGTATGCAATTTATAACAATTAATACACGAGCTAAATAAAATTTACAGGAAAGAGATAAAAATCGTGTTTAAATTAGCAATACATAAAAAATATCGAGAATGATATTTATGAAAAGGATATATAAATCTGGAAAATTACACGAATTTAAATGATTGAAAATGTTGGTATTATTTTACATTTACAATATATAAAAAATATAGAAGAAAAATTCGAGTTCTCTCTTTCTGTCTCTTCTCGCGTAGATCGAAGTTATGACCGCAACAATTTAGACCGTCTATATTTAATTTGATTAGCCAGAGCGTTAAATTAACGGTGTGCAAGCCACAGAGAGAACGGTGAATCTTCGCACCTTCGACTAACATCACGCACGCCACTCTAACCACTCGATCAGCGAATTCCCACGCGACGTGTTATCCCGGCCAGATTCGGTCGAATAAATGCACAAGGTGTCTAAAAATTAATCTCTGCCAAACGAGAAGGAATGCTATCAATATAACATTCGAATTAGAAATACAAAATGACACTTTTTTACATCTTATTTTCATCATTTTTCACGGGAGAGAACGTAAACACTTACAATTAGCTTGTACAATAATAGAGTGGCAAACACTTTTTCTATTTAATTAAAACTGAGCTCATTTAGTAAAAATTATTTTGATACAATTTTTAAATTTTCAGCAATATTACAAAGCTATAATGTTATAGAAAACTATTTATCATCGCTAATACACCGTGAGAATTTTCTCTTATCCTGAAATTTATGATAATCGTGGGAGAATATGGTATTGGAAGAATTTGATAAGAATATCTTTAATTATATATTTATCACAATAAGAAATATTAATAATGTGCATGATAAATTTTACTATGTACATAGCAAAATTAATCCAACATATTTTATTATATCTTATTTATTAATTCTAAGAGAAAATTTTCTCTGTGTGAAAACACTCGTGTATAACTATTTTTAGTAAAAAGCTTTTTTTCTTGACCGCTCTTGATTCGAAGTTAATATTGATTTCATTGAATTCATTGAATAAATATTGATTCCAAATTGTCAATTCATAAACTGTAACTCTGCACGCACCCTGTACATATATACACGTACATATATACGCACTGAATAGCACGTGGTATGCGGGCGATTATACACGCGACTGCGGAGCTCGGGAACGCCAGAACTCGAAACCGCTGATCGAGATTCCTCGTCGAACGTTCTCTCTTGACGAATCCGCGAAAAAAAATTCATTCGACAATCATCTACAATTTCAATATTACATCACATTAGCTGTATTAATTATTTCCCTGATTTCACAGCGAAAAAAAATTAGCTACTATAACTTACACATATTCCATTCTTTTTATTCAGTTTTTTTATATTTTTTTAGATATTTATAATTTGAATGAAATGTTAAACACATATTTTTTTTATATAAGTTGTATAATTATTATAATTACACTTTGCTGTATTTAAGAAAAATACTTAACAGTGTAAATAAAAATTCAGGTGAATATTATATTTAAAAATATTGTAAACAATATATGGACAACTAAAATTTAGCTATGGTATTCTCTAAATTTCTTGGAGTGAAAACTGAACAATCTCATTCCAAAAGAGTGGAATCTCATTCTTTTTCACTCCAAGAAATGTAGAAGAATTTTTTCCCTGTTGTTTAAGATATTTTAAATACAATATTCTGATTTTACATTTGATTTTTTATTTTCACTTTTAAGTATTTTTTTCGAATATAACAAAGTGTAATTATAATAGTTATACAGTTTATATACAAATATATAATGTGTTTGCATTTTTATTCAAATTATAAATATGTAAAAAAATTTTTTAACTAAATAAAAAATTGAATAAAATGAAAACATAAGTAATATTTCACAATCAATTTCTTAAGAAAATTCTTAAGAAATTTCTTAAGAAAAATTTTTTTAAGACATTATGCAAATTTTAAGATTAACAAATCAGGACTGTTATTCAAAATGTAATATCATTGCAATAAATAAACTAGCATCATGACCTCGTATGTTAAAAATTGTAATTTTATTGCAACAAAGTGGCAAAAAAGATTACGATAAAACCTCAAAAATTTCAACAATATATACCTGCGAAAAATATCTCTCGGAACACAGAGGAATATAACACTTGGTCACCTGACCAGCAAGGAAATTGTTGAAACACGCAAAGAAATACCCAGTCAGGGTTCTTTTATATTTTATACTTAAATTCTTGAAGAAATTTATTTGGGATTATTTAGGTAAATCAGCATTCCAACGTAACAATAATCGCTTTTTCTCTAAACAGAGATATGCCAGTTCAAGAAAAGTTTGACGTAATGGAATTCCAAAGGCAGCATTTTTTGCCCAACATCGCATACGTTAAGTATTTCACTTTCTTCTGATTTGCTCGAACATATATTGTCGTATTTTTATTACCAAATGTGAAATATGTAATCAAAAATATATAATAAAAAAAATGAACATATAAAGTTGCAAATACATTTAAAGAATTTCACCTAAAGAGCGTATTTAATTTTTATTATTACAAATAGAAAAATATTTTTAAAAATTTGATGTCATTTTATGTATGATCAATTTTCCGAAAAAATATCCGACAGATAAGTAACTAAAAATATTTACGTCAAATTGGGAGAAAGGACCACAATATCAGAGAGTTTAATCCTTTGTAGATTTCTCCGCGTCGCGTGTACTTTCTATATTTTATGCATTCGAAACAGAGCTGGCGCAACGCGCTCGTTTTCGAGTGAAAAGAAAGAGCAATAAAAATTCGAGAAAAATATAAAGAGCAAACGCGCGCGATAAATTGTAATGCAAATGAGAAATCGCGAATACGTGTAAAAATAATTTTCGCGCGAAAAAAAAATCCGATCTCATTCAAATGATACATATATAATACATATACCGGTTTCGACGAGTTGAAACTCCGAAATTCGTCCGAACGTGCAGATAAGACGAGCGCGTGAATTCCAACGTTGTGGAATGCAACTTCTCCCCGAAAATACAAACGTCGTAAAGCATTTATAAAACGCTGATATACCTCTCTCTCTCTCTCTCTTTCTCTCTTTCGCGCGAATAACAACGCCGTGGAATTTGGAATATCTTACGCCTTGGGATTAAGTATGTGCCGAGTCTTGCATTTCTCTTCACGTATTTTAGCGCAGAACGTGATACGTGATTTTTCGAAACAGAAACGAGACTCGTCATCGTCAATGATTCGGAGCGAGCGAAAATGAAACGCGCGAATTTGACAGATCAGAAAATATAACCACAAAGGCGAGCGAAATGTCAAACTCGCACGCTCGGAATTTTTTCCTCGCGACACTTTTTCTCTGAGGGACAAAGTGCGCAAAATCGTAAAAAAAAACTACATATATATAGTGTACATATATACCTGCTGAGAAATTCCTTGACAAACGCGAGATGACGGGGCGCTTTGTCGACTTCTCTCACGCGCTCCTTTTTCGAAAATGGCCGCGCGCTCGCGCGCCGGTTTTTCGAATTCTCGCTACTCGAACGTGTCGCGAGTACGTAAAATCTATCGCGCGAACTCGACAAGGACGACGATGACGATGACGACGACGACGGTGTAGACGCGCTACTCCGCGCGGGTCGTCGGCGCCGCCGCGCGGCGCGTCTCTCGACGTTCGCGAGGAATCAATAGAGGAATCCGGCGTAGCGTAAAAGAATAAAAAAAGGAGGGAAAAAATGTAGCGAGAGAGAGAGAAAAAGAGACAGAAAGGTGCACATTCTTCGAAAGAATTCGCGCCGGCACGTCATCGTGCCTCGCCGCATCGCTTTATTTGACATGTGTATATATTTGCACGTACATACATGCATATATATATATATATATATATATATATATATGTGTGTGTATGTGTGTGTTACGTTTTACTCACCCAAGAGAACGAGACACTCGTCGCACGCGAAGGCTCGCGCGCGATTCACGCGGTGACACACTCCTACGCCGTGTGTTGACACTCGGTTAAACGCAACGTCGACAACTCGGTGCACTCGTGGCCGGCGCGTCGTGTCGCCAGCGGGGACGTGTTTTCATCGAAAACGACGAAAATCTAATGGCATGCGGGCGGGTGGACGCGCGTGGCCCGTTTGACACCGACAGGCAGGCCTCGACCACAGTATAAGAAAGAATATACTGTGCCTCGACTGTCCGCCTCCCCCCCACCCGGCCGTCGCGCTCGAGCATTACGCTGGAATGCGCGGTATGCGGCGCGCTCGCAGCGCCGCGGCGGCAAAACCGCGAACTAACGCCCCGCCGCGGTATTGTAAATACACCAACGGGAGGCTTGTCGCTAGCAAATCACCTGGCGATTATATATGTACTCCGAGAAATATATCGATATCTCGAGGAAAAAAAAAATATATATATATATAAATATGTTATATGTATATAATTAAGATGAACTGAGGACCGGACGTCCTGCTTTCCGAGGACGCATCCTCCTTCTCTCAAAGTGTTCTCGTATATATATGTCCTAAATTCCTCCTCTCCTCTAGAATGCCCGTCATAGTTTCGTATTTATAAAATATATACGATTAAAGTAGATGTATATACTTTTGGCTCGCTGAAACTTGGAATTATATCCCTTAACGCTTAATTACATTGTTCTAGTTTAATTTTTTATTATTAATATTTATATATACGTACGTGAAAAAACGCGCGTGGAATGTCGAGTGTATTATATTATATACACACATTCTCAACGAACATATATATATATATATATATATATATATATATATATATATATATATATATATACACATTCGCGCGCATATTTAACATGATAAAAAATATGTCTAATTCTTGTTTTGGTAAAAAGTATACAAAAGAGAGAATATTTTAAATTAGAAACATTCAATTAAAACTTCGTTTCTAACTCTGCTCTTTTTCCAAAAATGGCAAATGTCCCACTTTACTCCTCCTTGTCTTAGTCATACATAAAAAATGCGGCCATTCTACTTACAGGGATATAAGTCAATAATATACAATATACACAACAACGATTATTTATGCATACAAATTATACTTATTTGTAATATTAAACAATATAAAAAAAAATTGTTCTCTTTATATAATCTTCATTTTTATAACGCAAATGAACAAATCGGATTATGACAAATTCTCTTTCATAGATCCCGTGTTTTATCTAGAAGATATGATAACAGACTATTTATATAAAGATATTGCATATTCTGATACGAAATCAAAGTTTTCGTGAAGACTAAATTCTTCATTATCATGCAGGAAATGTGAGCACTTTCTATCACTCTTATTTAAGAAGATATGTAGTCGTGTGATATTTTCATAAAATTATACACAATTATAATTATAAATTATTATAAAATTATAAAATTATTTAAAGGTATAAGACAGGCAGTAAGAGCCAACTCGCGGATGACAGTGCGTTATCCTAACGAAACTAAAATTTTTTCGTTAGGATTAAGTATCTGTGCACAAGGCACCAAATTTTACTTGGTCACGGCCAAGATTTAAAATATGAAATAATCTCAAATATGAGATTATTTCATATTTTTAATCTTGGCCGTGACCAAGTAAAATTTGGTGCCTTGTGCACAGATACTTAATCCTAACGAAAAAATTTTAGTTTCGTTAGGATAACGCACTGTCATCCGCGAGTTGGCTCTTACTGCCTGTCTTATACCTTTAAATTTATATTTATATTACAGAGCCTTGTTAAAACTCTTAGTTTATAAAATTATTTCTTTAATAATTATTAATGGACATTTTTTTATTAAAATTTGCAGTTATCTCATAGTTTTTATATGTAATATCCAATCAATCAAAATAAAGAAAACAAAGAACGCGTTAAAAATATTTTGGATGCAACTGAAATCGAATTTGCCATTTTCCTATGACAGGTTTAACTGCTGAGGTGCATCTGTTTGTCAAAATTATGGTTTCTCTGCAGCTGTTGCAATGACAATAGCTATATCATATAGTCAACGAACCGGAGAAGAAATGAAATGGAGTCGTCAGGTAGCGAAAGAAATATAAGTTTCAGCCCAAAAAAAACCGATCACGAAAATATTCATATTATATTCATTGTTTTCTTGAATAAACAATTCATTAATTATAATTGGAATAGAAATATATGATTATAAAAAAATACGATAAAATGTAATTTTTCAGAGAAAAAAATGATGTGTTTATATATAAAAATTGTAATTATAATAATTATAATCACGATTCTCTCATAATAAAGGAAAATGGGAAAATTTCTTTTGATAAGGATTAATTTTTTTGTTACAAAAAAATTGTTTGAAACAATTTCCTAAAATGTTTTCTCATCAATTGAATAAGGAGAGAAAAGGTAACTAGTTAAGCTTAAAATATGAATGTTTATATGAATAATTTATTTTTAAAAGTGATATAATATTAATATTAAGATATGAGACATATTGATGTGTTTATTCAAGAGTGTTTCCGAACTTTGCTGTATATATATCACTTTCACAAAAGCGAATGTTCACAGGTACTTCTCAGTCACAATAACATAAAAATGACATAGAAATATTTTATAAAAACGACGATAAAACGATGACAATACGAGTAAATATTGATTAAAAATTACGATAGTTATTTTCATATTAGCAAGTCTGTGAATTATGTCATTACCTACAAATTTTATATATCATCTATTGAAATATATCTTGTATCTATAAAAAAATTAATTATAAAATTAAATAACTAATTATAAAATAAAATTGAAAATTTGCATTTTAACATTTTTGTAAACATTATCATTCACGATATAAAAATTAGAATATTAAAAAAAATTCATAAAGAAATCAATATTAATAATATATATATATATAAAACTATAAATCACACACGCATATAGACACCAAATGTGTATGATGCGTCAAATTTAAGTAAAATTCAAAATTGAAGTAGAAAGATTTTCTTTGCTTAGAATATTTTTCTTATATATTAACAAATTTTTGCAATTTCAAAAGATTTTGATTCTAAAGAATGTATGTTGCTTTGATTAAATTCTTTGGATATTATTTTTCTCTTCACTTCGTATTTATATACAATATAAATATTATATATCATTTTTATGTATAAAACAGTGCAAATAGTTCACATTTAAAACTTACGTTTTGTTTTTTATGTAAATTTTTTCACTCTCCTTGCATTCCTTGTTTAAACTGCAGTTTTTAATGGCTCCTCATCTTCACTCGAAGTGTCCATTGTATAATATAACTTGAAAAATATATATGATAATACAACATCAAACACAAAATTAATATTTAAAATTTAAAATAGCACAAATATATATAGATGTTTCAATTTTTAACAGATTAAGATTTAAAAAAATTTTAAGCCATTTATACAAAGGAGAAACGACTCGAAATATTTTATATTTATTTCTTATAATATATATTAATAGCACTTAATCAATACATACCTCATCCAAATCTGGTGTTTTCAGTATTTCTTCGAGTCCTGATAATTTTTCGAGATAATTTGGCACATTGCAAGCATCGAGTATAAAAGCGAAACCACGTTCTCGATACTCTTGAATCAAAGGTATAGAGCAAGCCGTACAAAACGGAAATCTGTGTGTAATTGTCAGTTTCATTTCGTGACTCCAAAGTGAACCCCGTATTGTGTGAGGTATACCACCTAATAATCCTATTAATGGATTGTCTACATTCGCTTGACAATCCTCGCTATCGTTATTCATAAGCGCGCAAGCCGAAATTCTTGGGATTATATAAAAATAGATAATCAGATATAGATCAGATGTGTAAATAAAAATCTAACATAATTCATATGCAACTTACCCTTGCGGATGCTGCGTTATTGCCATAAGTAACTCAACTGCTAAACCCGCAGCGACTTGTGACAAACCCGGTCGACTTACGGTACATTGTTGATCGAGCGTTCTGTCCGTTTGTGACTGGAATAAGAATAAACATATCGTAAAATTAAAACATCATGTTTTAAATTTAATATACGCCGAGTTTCTATTTTCAAATGTTTAATATTTCAAAACTTGTGTGATATGAGAAATATTTAAAATAAACTAAATAACACACTCACATTTCCGGGTTGAGTTACATCATTACAAAAATAACATCCAAGATATTCTCCTGTAGGATTTTGTACCGTCAGATTGGGTGAGAAAGAATCGGAGAGATTACGCGTGCCGTGTCTTTGTACTGTATACGAATCGAAACCCAAAGCAGCATTAATAGCTATTTTATTCATCGCTGCACACAGGAGAGTTGGTAACCATCTGGCTTCGCGAGAGTCTAATAGCAAGAACACCACATCGTGACTATTCACGAGTTCTTGCAATTTCTTCACAGCTTCCTTGGTCGTTTCCATCATGCTTTGACCCACCACGTGACCAGGCATTGGAATATGCAGAATCACACCTTCCACATTCTAGAACATTAAAAATTAAAATGATTTTAATAAAGTATGCATTGAAATATTATAATAAAATATTACTATATATATATATTTATGTTAAAATTATATCTATATTATATTTATATTTTAATAGATTTGAAAAGTAAAAATTATTAAAGATTATTATTATAGAATTATTTTTGTACAGATATTTTCTTCAAAGTATTACAAAATATGTAAAAAAATAAAGATAGAAATATACTTGCCATGGTAGGGCGTATTCTAAGTAAAGCATCTTTCGCGGCATGCGCTTTGTATCGACGTTTCACCGCATCTTCGTGCGTGTATAAACTCTGGCGCACTGTATTACTGTGAGAGACATTAGAGTAATCTACGACTGTCATATTATTAATACCCCAGCCAAGAAGTACTCTCGCCACGGAACATCCTAATGTACCAGCACCCAACAGAAGACATCGTAGACCACTGATCTTTCCCAAATCTAGATCCGGGACAAGGCGCCATTTCATCAGTTTCAAATTTAAATTTATTGCTTTGTCTGATAATCTAGTGTAACATAAATGATACTTGTGAATCTCTATGTATAGAAATCAAAGTTGATTAATTAAAGAAATTTAAAAAAATCTTACTTGGTAGGATTCATGGTGCTCGATAAATCCGCGACATTAGGACCCATTTTTCCGTTTATATTAGCTTCCCAACCTACTAAATGACCTTCAAAAATAGCTTTCCTTATACTTTGTATGTCTGTATCTTCTTTGATTCTAAGTGTAAATACTACTGCAGTTTGTATTTTATCACTCCTGATAGATAAGACTTTGATATTGTGTGTCAAACAATATGTAGGGCAATGCCACAATAACAGACACAGAAGATTTCGCAAGGGCCATCCAGGTTCTGTACTTGCACAAGGATCGTAAAATGCAAAGTATACTTTATTCTCCTCCTAGATAATATTAAAAACAAATTTAATTCGTTTAGAAAGTTATAAATAGCAGTACGTCTTATTGTCATAAACAAAAGTAAAGAATTATATAAGTTTGTGAAACCATACCTGTTTTGTATCTTTGTTGCTGCTTAATTTTGCATATTCCACTCCTTTCGACAAGTTATCAATGTTTAGATCATTTTGTCCAGATTTAAAAATTGTGAAAAAGTTTCTTGATAGTGCATACAATTGAAGGAAGCTTGTTTGTAATTTATTTATTTGACTAGTTGTAAATTCGCCATCAGATACGAATTTTGATGGCTCAACCAAATAAATTTCTGGCAATGTGAAAGGAGTCGGATGTGCAGCCCAATAATAAAACCGATACTTTTTTAGATCTGAGTATGCAAACACGGAGAATGCCGAAAGCCACCAAGACTCTTGCAAAGCTGTGCCATCTATAATACTATTGATAATGCATTTGCCCATGGTGTCAATAAACTCTTCATGATTTATCTGCCTAAATGCTTCATAGGTATTTGTATTAATCATGTAGCCATAGCAAGCTACTCTCGCAGAGTGAGAAGTTGTATCCAAATCTCTGAAACTCATCTAAATGAAGTCTATTCTATCATATTGACATGCAATTTATATATTATTGTTAATGTAGATGCAAATTATATTACAAAATATATTTAAAAATAAATTAGTCTATTTTTTGTTAAAAAAAAAATCAGAAATTATTTTTATATTTGTACAATACATACTCATTAAATGATGTACAATCAAGAGTTAATGGATTAGTTCTTCCCTCATTCATCGATTGAAGAGAGAAACTTGCCCATAAATGTATCTTGGACTTTTCATCTAATTTTAATTTGTCTATTTTTAATTCTGCAAATTTTGCCCAAAATGATGAGTCCATCGCTGTTTTCAACTTTGTAAACTTCACCATTTCAAATGTCATCTTTGATATTTAATAATTTATTCCTGAAAAAAAAATTTTAATTTATAAGTACATTATAAATAAAATAAAAAGAAGCAGTATAAATGTATGTTTTTCGTTATAAATAGAAATAAAATGTGTCAGCTATATCTTAAAAAAAATTATGCACACAGATTAATCTAAAAAAAGAAAATATATCTCTGTTATTGGACACGCAAAAGTAATATTCTTTTCGACGAATTAGCACAAATTTAAATTAATGTAATTATACGATGACACATCAATGTTTCTAAAAATTTCTTAAATTATCTCGATTGCGTAAAAAAATATATAGCTAACCTTAAATTCTGGTAATACGATTCGCTGAATTTACAAGGTCTATCTCTCGCAATTACGAATTGACAGCAATACAAACACACATGTATATCAATCAACACTGATCTTATGAGATTATATCGAAAACAAGTGCTAAAAATAAAGCACATTTAATGAATAAAGACCAGTGTTTACGAGAAGCAGAGAGAAAGATGAGAACGGCCAGGCCGGCGTTTTGGCTGTTACCGTTTTTACGGGACTGCTTGAAGCGCCCCTCGCACCCGTTTTTAATATCGGAACTAACTGCACACCCATTTTCTGGCAGGGTCGATAAAGTTTGTATTTGGTGCGAGTCCGTGCTACGCCCATAATTTTCGTGTTAACACAGTATCACGTATTCATTCTGTATATGTGCGATCTTTTCTCTTTATTTATATATATATATATATATATATATATATATGTATTTATATAATTTGTATAAAAACTAAAATATAATTATTAAAATATATATATATATGTATATGTGTAATGAAATATATAAATCTTATTTTAATTAAAATAAAAAAACGATTAATTGTTCGACCACCTGGATTTTGGAATGTAATTTTTAATATATATTATATTATATTTAATATTTATCGCCGCTTCTATTAATATGAAGTGCAATGTCAACGTGCAATAATGTACAATTATTTAAAGTTTCCATGCCTAATGTATCATGCCGGTATAAAAGAACGTCAAGTAGCATGCGTAGCCGAGCAACTAAGATGACGAGCTGAAATCGTGGACATTTCAAGTTCAAACCCCTACCTTTTTCAGATTTTTTTTTCACTTTTTTCAAATAAGTTATTATGTGTATAAATGTGTAATAATCAATATATCATTATTTGATAATTTTTTTTGTAATGGAACAAAATAAATTATTTTTTAATTCTGCAAGGAATTTAATTATTAATGCAAACGCCCACACACATAATTTAGATATTCAATTTTTTTTAGTTCAAATGTTTCTTGCAATCTGTATACGACAATCAGTCCACTCGCTGTGCCACAGATTGCATCGCATAATACGCTCAGAGTTATAATACGATAGAGATCGCTTTACGCTGTTTTTCCTTGAAATAAATAAATTTTACGTGTTGTGTACGCGTGTTTAGTATATTTGTTTCTTTCATATTAATTTTAACTATAATTAGTTTTTTAATTAAGATTATTTTAGTGTTAGTTGTTTATTTGTTAGTGTCCTGTTTTCTTTAATTTCGCATTTTTTAATTTTCTTTTTTTTTTGGTGTTGGTGCTAATTATTATTTTTATTTTACAATGTCGAGTAAACACCGGTTTTACGATAAATGTGTGTATTTAAATTGCACAAATATTAGGACAAAAGATGGAAAACGTTTATTTCGATTTCCATTACAAACGGGTGCGAGACATGATTTATGGTTACGCAATAGTGGTGAGTTTATAAAATTGATTTACTTATTTATATCAATATATAATATATATTGATATGATATATGAAACAAATATATATATATATTCTTTGTTTTTTTTAATAAAATATGTCAGATATTATGTATGTTTACGTATGGATTACGTTGAAGTGTTTCTTTGCCGCGTTTTTCTGATCTCGCCGAACGGTTCGCGAATCCTGTGCGAATAAAAAACGATGCGCGTGTGTGTGTGCGTGCGATTGTGATGATCAGTTTCAGTTCGTCTTCAACGCTTGACGAGAGAAGAGGTCCCGAACTGCTGTAAGTTTATAAAAACATATTTTTGTATAACACATTAGAACGATTTTATATTATTTTTTTTGTCTAGAAAACGTTATATTAATAACCGTTATGAAAACGATCTCGACGACGGTCGTCACCGGCATCGTCGCCGTCGTCGAGATCGTTTTCATAACGGTTATTAATATAACGTTTTCTAGACAAAAAAAATAATATAAAATCGTTCTAATGTGTTATACAAAAATATGTTTTTATAAACTTACAGCAGTTCGGGACCTCTTCTCTCGTCAAGCGTTGAAGACGAACTGAAACTGATCATCACAATCGCACGCACACACACACGCGCATCGTTTTTTATTCGCACAGGATTCGCGAACCGTTCGGCGAGATCAGAAAAACGCGGCAAAGAAACACTTCAACGTAATCCATACGTAAACATACATAATATCTGACATATTTTATTAAAAAAAACAAAGAATATATATATATATTTGTTTCATATATCATATCAATATATATTATATATTGATATAAATAAGTAAATCAATTTTATAAACTCACCACTATTGCGTAACCATAAATCATGTCTCGCACCCGTTTGTAATGGAAATCGAAATAAACGTTTTCCATCTTTTGTCCTAATATTTGTGCAATTTAAATACACACATTTATCGTAAAACCGGTGTTTACTCGACATTGTAAAATAAAAATAATAATTAGCACCAACACCAAAAAAAAAGAAAATTAAAAAATGCGAAATTAAAGAAAACAGGACACTAACAAATAAACAACTAACACTAAAATAATCTTAATTAAAAAACTAATTATAGTTAAAATTAATATGAAAGAAACAAATATACTAAACACGCGTACACAACACGTAAAATTTATTTATTTCAAGGAAAAACAGCGTAAAGCGATCTCTATCGTATTATAACTCTGAGCGTATTATGCGATGCAATCTGTGGCACAGCGAGTGGACTGATTGTCGTATACAGATTGCAAGAAACATTTGAACTAAAAAAATTGAATATCTAAATTATGTGTGTGGGCGTTTGCATTAATAATTAAATTCCTTGCAGAATTAAAAAATAATTTATTTTGTTCCATTACAAAAAAAATTATCAAATAATGATATATTGATTATTACACATTTATACACATAATAACTTATTTGAAAAAAGTGAAAAAAAATCTGAAAAAGGTAGGGGTTTGAACTTGAAATGTCTACGATTTCAGCTCGTCATCTTAGTTGCTCGGCTACGCATGCTACTTGACGTTCTTTTATACCGGCATGATACATTAGGCATGGAAACTTTAAATAATTGTACATTATTGCACGTTGACATTGCACTTCATATTAATAGAAGCGGCGATAAATATTAAATATAATATAATATATATTAAAAATTACATAACAAAATCCAGGTGGTCGAACAATTAATCGTTTTTTTTATTTTAATTAAAATAAGATTTATATATTTCATTACACATATACATATATATATATATTTTAATAATTATATTTTAGTTTTTATACAAATTATATAAATACATATATATATATATATATATATATATATATATAAATAAAGAGAAAAGATCGCACATATACAGAATGAATACGTGATACTGTGTTAACACGAAAATTATGGGCGTAGCACGGACTCGCACCAAATACAAACTTTATCGACCCTGCCAGAAAATGGGTGTGCAGTTAGTTCCGATATTAAAAACGGGTGCGAGGGGCGCTTCAAGCAGTCCCGTAAAAACGGTAACAGCCAAAACGCCGGCCTGGCCGCTCTCATCTTTCTCTCTGCGAGAAGACGTACATTGTTATGCACCTTCCCACTTAAAGTCTGAAGTTAGGTATTTTCATTTCAGGTTAAATCCCACGTGTTCGATTCTCAATTTTCAAAAAAAGTGACTAACTTCAGATTGGAAATCAAAGATTTTAAAATAATTATCCTTATAAATTCTTAAATTATCTTTACAAATTCTTAATTCATTATTTTTACATTATCTTCAACTATACTTTTACTAATTATTTTGATAAACCTTTCATTAAAAATGTGAATATTTTATATATATATATATATATGAGACACAAAAAATTTAATTTAGATAAAAATAATATAAGAGCGAGAATATAATGTATAGTTAGCAAAAAAATGAAATAAAAATTATTAACAGAAAAGCAATGATCTTTTTTGTTTCAATGCTTGTTCTTGCTTTCTATTCTAATCTTTGCATCTATAATCAAAAGAACGCATTGATGTTCAGCAATTTTTCATTTTTCACAAACCTTCACAAGACTATCTTTAATATTTCTTATTTTGTAATAAAAGAACTTTATATACCTTATGTATATCTAACGCGAATTTCTTCGCGCAGTCTCGGTACCAATTGCAAGAATTGGAAGCATATTATGTATACACTTAGGTCGTCAAGACGACAGACATTAATTTTCTCGTTCTTTAGTACGTGTACTTGTCAATCTATCCTCGTCTTGAATCAAAGAAAATCTCGCTTCTACATAAAAAAAAATGTCTTTATTTTCGACACCTATTCTATATTTAAATATGGGCGGTGAAATGTTGTACGTTTTACGACAGAGGCTGAAGGCGCAAAAGATCGACGCCGACAAAACGATACAAGGCGAGGCGCAAGTTTAAAATATATTTCAAAGATACATTTCATAAATATTCCGTTCGCACATTTTTGTATAATTTATAATTTTTTGACGATATATAATCTTATCAAAATCTCTTTCACGACTGCATCTTATATATATATTTATTTTTCAATTATCTCTTAATATTTCAAGCTAGATGTATAAAATTAAAATTTTGTGAAAATGTACTATTTCTTTTTTATATATTTTATATAAATTTTTATTCACTTTTTATATAATAAGTATTATTCTCTTTATTTAAATTTTTAAAAGTTTATTAAGATAGAAATATTTGTAATATATTATTATTATTCGTTGGAAAGAATCCTGATATTAATTTTGATGAATATTATTTTTCTCTTTTAGAATCTTTTTATACGCTCTATCATTTTAATGTTATCTACATCAATAAAATTTAAGAAAATTTTATCGATATTTAATTTGTTTCCTCAAAACGCAAAAATTTAATTATAAATTAATTAATTACAGTATTGGATGACGTAACTGCCGCTTTGCTCAATCCTAAGATACTGTCATCGATATTCGCGGAATCGCCTATGATCGGGGTGTCACACTTGCGCACCACCTTGGAGAGTGTCGTTCTTTCGTCCATCATGAAACTAGACAGGAGTAGTATGGACAAACTGTTTGACTTGATGATCATGATGGTCAAGTATCAATTGACGGCAGCCACAGGACCCAGGGAGGTCATACTCATCATCTTGAATCACGTAGACGCGATACGCGACATGGTCAGCGACTTGAATGCCCAAAAATGCGTTACCCTGGTGCAGGAAATGGTCCTTGATGTGAGTGTAATATCTTGTTTTAACAGGATATACCAGAAAACCGATGACTGATCCATCTTCTCTCTAACACGTAGTTCTACAGCTGCCTGACCTTCGAACAGATCTGGAGTGCGCGGGAGTGTTGTCTGAAGGAATTGGAATCGTATCACGTGCGAGTTTCAATCCTTCTGCGACGTGGTTTGCAGAACGAGGATGCCAGCTTCAATATCTCGCCTCAGGGATACAATGAGAAGTACACAGAGCACAGGAACACTCTGAGAATGATGAAGATTAAGGATGTGAGCCCTGAAACATGCTGCGGTGGGTCCTTCGACACTTTCGGTGACAGAAAAACATTGTTGGGCAAGAACATGTAAGGAGAAAAGCATCCAGTATATTCGATTGCACATGTCAATAATAATTATCTCGTTATGTATTAGATATTTGCCGACATATGGTGTAACGGGAACTGGAAGGCGAGATAGTCAGCAGTTCTTCAAAGATTGTGGTGCAAAAGCGGAATTAGGTATGCTGGCTGTTCAGCTGGGAACTGAGGAGACTAATTACGAGAGACCGTTCACGCTTAATCTATTATCGAACGTGGACGACGAGAATGTAAATAATACGAATAAGGAAATCGATGCTGAAGGGAACAAGGCTAAACCAGGTAGTAACGCGGGAAGTAACGAGAAGCCGAAACTAAATGAGGATTATAAAACTAAACTAGATAACGTATACGCGGACTTTTTCGAGGACGAGCAACAGGAGACCTTGAAACGCAGCATGGATCTGCTTGATCTCCTCGATGAGATTGAATAATTTTTATAATTTTGACTGACGAAATCTGTCTCAATCACCATTATTTTTCTTATATTTTTCCCACATACTTATACACTTTGCGATATTTTTGCTAACAACAAATACCTTTCTATACAAAGAGCGATTTTTCTGTTTTTACGAAAAACTGCTTTTACCCAAGTCATATAAAAACGCTCGTACATTACAGAGTATTGTAATGATTTTAAATGCTATCGAATGCATTGATAAAGTTCCGAGAGAGTAGAAAAAACAAATTCTATATATACAAATATAGAAAAAAAACTTTAAGATTTCGTCAAGTCTAAAATGTACTTTACACCTGTCCGACCGTCGAAACTGAGTGCCTTAACGATGGCTTCTTGATACTCGCAGAAGGGTATCAATTTATGCGGTGGTACCTGCAATCTCTTTTCATTGAAGAGAGTTGCCAGATCCTTGAACATATCCTCTCTCTCCTGGGATTCCATATTTAAGTTCGTCCAAGCTGTCATCCAAAATCCTTTCAACGATATATTCTGCAAATATTATATATGGTACAAATTATATTTTTTATATCTTTTGCAATGTTCACGACTCTTTAAATAGTTTTTAATTACTTTAAAAATAAGTGCAGCTATCGGTACGGTCAATGGCTCTCTAGACATGCCTCCGTAAGTCACCATAATACCATCTTGTGTGAGATGTCTCAGCACTTCATGTGCACTTTGTCCACCGATACAGTTGAGAGCTAATTTGGGTGAGGGTAACTTTTTACTTTTGAATAGTTGCGTTTTTCGAACTTCATCTTCGGTCAAAACTTCATCCGCTCCTAAACTTATCAACTGATTCTGTAAATGAAATTTGTAACATTGCATGTGCACATGATATTTAATATATATTATAAAAATATAATTATAATACTGTACCTTCAATTCCTGTATATTTGGCCTGTCTCTAACAACATTGACAGACTTGAAATTCCATACTTTGCACAATTGAATGACCAATTGACCAACTGCAGAGTTACCACCGTTTTGTATCACAGTATCTCCAGGTTTCAGTGAAACGAAATCTTTCAACATTCTGTACGCAGTACATGGATTTACATTCATCATACTAGCTGCAACTAGATCAATATCATTTGGCATCTGTAAAATTAGAGAAAAAAAGAAATAATAAACACAAATGACAAATATAATATGCCAGAGGTGTTGTAGTAATAATATATGCACCTTCAAAACATCCTTAGAATTATAATTAGCTAGCGTTCTCCATGTTCCAAAATTGGGGCCATTAGGCACCACTTTATCCCCAATGCGCAAAGTTTTAACATTAGAACCAATTGCTACTATCTCTCCGACTCCTTCATTTCCTGCTATTGCTGGTAACGGGGGTCTGCTAGGATATTTTCCTTGTATCGTATTTATATCAGCTGGGTTCACTGGGGCTAGTAACCACTTTACGGACACCTTTAGTATAAAAAAAAAGAATAATTAAATTATGCAATAATTAGATAATAAATAAAAAATAATTATGCAATAATTAGAAAGTAGTAAATAAAATATCTGACAGAATTTTAATTATCATAATAATAATAATATTTACTTGATCGCTTGTTGGTTGTTCTAACGTCTGAGTGGTTATTTGAAGAACCTCGACAGGCTCACCATATTCCTTATATGATAGAGATTTCGCGCAATCGGCATTAATTGCCGCACTCATTTCTCGAATGCTCATTAATCTACTTTTTACTAATTGCGAAGTCAATGAAAAAACAAATTTGCTTCTGAACATAACTATGTTGATGGAATCACGTGTTTAACGTTTGATTGTATCAAATTGACAACATTTATTGATATAATTTCAAATCACTCTGGCGATCGTTAATATTTTGCGAAAACTTATACCTTCAATAAGTAAACATTTCTTGAGAATTTACATAAATGAATATTAATTTCGTTAGAACAGTTGTAATCGGCTGTCATGAAGTTGCTGTGTCATGGGGTTTGTTCTTTATTGCTGTACTGATGAACTAGTGCACACTAGTGCAATAAGTTAAAGCACAGATTAAGGGGATCCTAAATGCACGGGCGAACTCCGATAGGGTCGATAATGAAGATTTTTTAAATATAATTATCGACAAAACTCGACAGATGTCGCAATAAAAAAGTTGTCAATCGACACACACATACATATACAGGGTGTCCCATTTTATATAATTTATAATTATATAAAAATTATATATACACAGGTTGTTACACATACATATACACATATGTATGCGTGTGTGTATTTATACAAGGTGTCCCATTTTTACTACCCCTAATATCTCTTTGTTTCAATGCATTTTATAATAAAACAACAAAAGTTGTACGGTTTCAAAGGAACTATAAAATAGTACCATTAGTGTTGAAACCTTGCACAGTCATAAAGATTACGTGAAAGTCACTATCACATGATAAGTTATAAAGTTTCAACATTGCAATATCGCTTCTGAGAATTTTGCGCACATGCAAACTGCATCTGGGGTAAAATATTTTGTACAGTTATCAGCAAACGAATAGATCGCCTGTGGAATTATTTTTTAAAACAACCAGCACACGAATAGATCGCCTCTGGAATTACAGTTTTAAAACAACCAGCACACGAATAGATCGCCTCTGGAATTACAGTTTTAAAACAACCAGCACACGAATAGATCGCCTCTGGAATTACAGTTTTAAAACAACCAGCACACGAATAGATCGCCTCTGGAATTACAGTTTTAAAACAACCAGCACACGAATAGATCGCCTCTGGAATTACAGTTTTAAAACAACCAGCACACGAATAGATCGCCTCTGGAATTACAGTTTTAAAACAACCAGCACACGAATAGATCGCCTCTGGAATTATTTTTTAAACCAGCACACGAATAGACCGCCTCTGGCACTAACTACTATAAAAACTATAATAATAATTATCAATTATACATGAAAAAATAAACAAAGGATTGCATTATCTTTCAGATAAAAAAAATTGAGAATTGCATTTTAATAAAAAAAAATTAAAATAAAAATTAAAAATAAAAATAAAAATTGCATTTTAAACGTCTATTTGAATGTTCTTATAAAATTACACCTACATACATACATACATACAAATATATATATATATATATATATATATGTATATATATATTTATATACAGGGTAAGCCATTTTAATCTTTGCACTAAAATTTCTCAAAATTCAAAAGTTTAAAACAAAAATGTTTCAGATAAAAGTTGTATGGTTTCAAGGGGGACATGAGATGGTGTCATTGATTTGACCTTGAATAGCCATTTGAAGGTTACGTGACGGTCAACTTCAATTTCTTAAATGGAACACTATATTTTTTCTTGCATACTTTTATAGCTGACTTTAAGATCTTTCCAAAACACTACAATAAAATATTTTTTCATTAAGTATTTTTCGAGTTATAAGGCTGCAAATTTGCAGTATTTTGACATAAAATACAAAATATCTTGGGAAATATTCATTTTTCGATTATCATACCTTAATACTTTTATGCACAGAATAATGAGACGAATCAATTGGTGTAAAAAAAACACATAGTTGTCTTAAAGAAAAATTATTTAACTGCTTATTGCAATTTTCATATTTTTTTAAAGGTAAATATGTGTTTTCTTTACACCAACTATATATATCAATATATATGTATATATATATATATATATATATATATTAATACGATGTTCAGCATAACAATACGTACGATTTTTGAAATGTTTGCAACAGTTTAGAAAAAAATATATATTGTAAAAATTGATCTGTTTTGTGCAATCTATTACAAGCAATAAAAAATGAGGAAAAAAAATTTTTATAAAAAAAATTAGTGTTACCTTGAATTTTTTTTAATAAAATCATATTTTTTTATATAAATCGATTCTCAATATTCTGCATAAGTTGTAATGTAGGATGGCCAAAAAAAGCGAATAGCTTATGAGATATATTATACTTTCATAATGTACATAAACTATGAAATATCTCATGAAATCATTTTCTGATTATTTTATTCCAATTTTAAATCAATTGGTGTAAAGAAAACACAGATATAAATAAAGATATAAATTGTAAACCAGCAGCTACATATTTTCTCTAAAACTCAAATATCTCGTAAACTTTTCACTTTTTCACAATTTTATCTTTATAATTTTTGATGCAGAATATTGTAACAAATTGATTTAGATTGAATATGATGCTTTATTTAAAAAAAAATTATGACATTCATTTTTTCATGAAAACATTTTTTTTTTAATTTTTCTGTTACGTAATAGCTTTGAAACAAATTCATTTGTACAATATAAATTTTTTAATTATCAGAAACGTCTCAAATATCATGCGCACTATTATAATATATATATATATATATATATATATATATATATATATATATATATATATATACATACAGCATACATAATACTGTTACATACAGCACAAATACACAAAATATTACATACCTATTTATTATGCACATAAATGTATATAACGATTAGATAGACAAAAAAAAGAAATAGAAGAAAAAAGAAATAAATAGAAAGAGAGCGAACGAGTGAGCCTTTTTATAAACGTCGACAAGCAATATATTATTATGTATGTATACATGTATGTGTGTATGTATATATACATATATATATTGCTTTATGATATATATTTATAATGTAAAGAGGCTAGAGAACTCATACTCACTATCTTTCTCTTTTTTTTCTTCAGCTTTCTGTATCTGTTAATTTATTCATTATATCCATGTATGTGTATAACAAATAGATGTATATAATTAATGTTTATTTGTACTGTTTATAATGTTATATATATATATATATATATATATATATATATATATATCTTTTTCTTTTTGTCTATCTAATCGTTATATACATTTATGTGCATAATAAATAGGTATGTAATATTTTGTGTATTTGTGCTGTATGTAACAGTAATTCTGATATTGAATCAATTTTATGATATGACATAATACTAACCTTTTAAAACATGCTCCCTTTCTACTCAATCTGCGACCAGATAGGGGCAAACGTTTATTTTTGTTTGCACCCATTATACACTATATATTTAATAAATATAAAAATATTACTTTTAAAATATCACAGTATGTCTATCTATCACAATATTCGACACGTTATCACACGTTATAACGGTCGAGTCGCGCACTGCGTGTAAGCACGTATAGTACGTACCGCGTGACAAGTGAACCATCCCGCGCAAATATATGTCATTGCGCGCACACGATTTTGTTTACAAATATGTATATATAGGGTGTCTACATGCTACATTTTTAGCATGTACCCAATTTTTGTTATTTTTCGCAAAATTATAATTACACAATTATTTAATATAATTATATATAAAAAATTTTTCCCGCGTTGTATGTGTCGTAAGGAAATATATGTATAATTGATCGTTTGCATTGAATGTCACTATTTTCTGAAAAGTAAAAAAAGAGAGCTCTCTCTCTCTCTCTCTCTCTCTCTTTCTTGATCCTTTATGCTTATTGTTAGTATTCTATCAATTAGTAATCAATGCAATCAATCATATCGTTTTACGGCAACAGCCAGTTACTCGTTCACTCACTCATTCATTCTTTTAAAATATGTCCATTTTTATACATAATTATGTAAATTTATATATAAAAAATAAGGGTGCATATATAATCATGTCAAATTTGTATATAAAACATATATATTTATATATATAAAGAAATACTTATTTATTACACTTGTATATATATATATATATATATATAAATTTATATAATTATATATAACAAGCACTTTTACTTAATTATGTATAGACATATTTCATAATATAATTCTGCGATTATACGTATACTTTTATATATTTCTATATAATGTTATATTATTATATACACAAATTTTTGTCCCGGGGTATTTTAAACTTTTATTTTCTTTTTCTTTCCCCATTCTTGTCTGTCTTTACATGCATGTTATTATGTTGTATGTGTATCATGTATAATTTGGATTTGTATGTATGTTGAGAAGATTGGAATAGATAAAATTTTATTACTTCATGTTTTTATATTATAAATGCAGCTTTTTGTAAATATCCGAAATAAATAATTTTTCTACAAATATTTTAAATTTATCAAAATATTTTTTACTGCACAATTAGACTAATATATTTTGCATTATTCTATCTTTATTAATTTTTTTCATAATAAAATGGATTTTATTGAACAAATAATAAATAGTAAATAGAGAAAATATAAAATATCGAAAAGAATATATTCATATAAACATATATTTGTGAAATCGAAATTTTGTTAAAATTGACTTTCATAGAAATTGTATTTTATAAATTTAATTAAAAAAAGCTGCATTTATCAGATAGAAACATAAAGTAATAAAATAATATATTCCAATCTTCTCAACACACACACACACACACACACACACACACACACGCACACAACTTCTTATAACAAATGTTATATAAATTATACATATACAGGATGTAACAACGATCATATATCAGGAGTTTTTAGAAGAAAATACGTATTTTATTGAAAAATGTTTTATTACCAAAGTTATAAGGGTTACTTATCATTACATAGTAGTATTAGTATTATGTTGAATAGCATTATCAAAGTCACATAAAGATTATTTGGAAATAATGGAAACCCTCATTTTTTATTGCATGTACATACATGTAGCTTACTTTGAGAGCTTTTCTAAATAAATTTTTCATTCTGTGCATGCAATAAAAAATGAGGGTTTCCATTATTTCCAAATAATCTTTATGTGACTTTGATAATGCTATTCAACATAATACTAATACTACTATGTAATGATAAGTAACCCTTATAACTTTGGTAATAAAACATTTTTCAATAAAATACGTATTTTCTTCTAAAAACTCCTGATATATGATCGTTGTTACATCCTGTATATGTATAATTTATATAACATTTGTTATAAGAAGTTGTGTGCGTGTGTGTGTGTGTGTGTGTGTGTGTGTTGAGAAGATTGGAATATATTATTTTATTACTTTATGTTTCTATCTGATA